TAACCCTAACCCTAACCCTAACCCTAACCCTAACCCTAACCCTAACCCTAACCCTAACCCTAACCCTAACCCTAACCCTAACCCTAACCCAAACCCTAAACCCCTAACCCTAACCCTAACCCTTGGCTTCTGGAAGCAAGCTGTCCAACACTGCGATCCAGCAGGGCTCTAGCCCTAACTTCCCGCTCTCACCGCCACACGCACCGTCCAACTACCCGCCGTCGGCCCCCGATCTCATGACGCTCCTCGGCCCCCGTTGCATCCGGTGCCTGACCGTCCCCATCAGCGCATGACCCGTGCGGCAATGAACGGAGCCGGATCGGATCGTGTCCTTGCTCGTCTCACCGGCGGCCTGGCCTTTGGGACGGCGCCGATGCCACCATGAGCACCAGGCCCGGACATGTCGATCTACAGTGCGTGTCGCTTTTCACCTTGTCCATTTTTGCCCACCGTCCCCTCCATCGTATGAACCCCATCCGACCGCACTCGGATCGGTACAGGATACGCCCATGTCGAGCAGCCCGAGCGTACAGTCCTCCACAGCGTCTTTCCGGTCCGATCACAACCTCGAGGCGCGTGCGGATCTCGCAAACCACATGGAAAAGCAAGCCGAGTCGCTCTCCGCAGCGACGACCAAGCAGGAGGAGGATGGCAATCACAAGGCGTTTCTTGTCGACTGGCACGGGACGGACGACCCGGAGAATCCGCTCAACTGGAGCACGGCGCGCAAGCACGGCATCACGCTGACTCTCTCATTCGCGGTTGTGGTGGTGACGTTTGCGTCGTCCGTGTACTCGTCGGCGTCGAGCGCTGTGGCCAAGCACTTCGGCGTTTCGGACGAGGTGGGCAAGCTGGGCATCACGCTCTTTCTGTGCGGCTATGCGATCGGCCCGCTGGCGTGGGGCCCGCTCTCGGAGCGCCAGGGACGCAAGCCGCCCATGCTCATCTCGTACCTTGGCTTTGTGCTCTTCTCGCTCGCCACCGCCACCGCCAAGGATCTGCAAACCGTGCTCATCTGCCGCTTCTTCAGCGGCGTGTTTGGATGCGGCCCGCTCTCCATTGCCGGCGGTGCCATGGCCGACTACAGCTCGCTCGAACAGCGCGGCATCGCCATCGCCATCTACTCGTTCGCCACGTTCGCCGGGCCGACGTTCGGTCCGATTCTCGGCAGCTTTATCGTCGAGTCGCACCTCGGCTGGCGATGGACAGAGTACCTCACCGCCATCGTGGGGTCTGCCTTCCTGCTCGTGCTGCTCGTCGCCCTGCCAGAGACGTACGCCAAGCGCATCCTTCAGAAGAGGGCCGAGCACCGCCGCCTCGAGACGCGCCAGTGGGCTTGGCATGCGCAGCTCGACGAGGAGGCGTTCGATGCGCGCGTCGTCGTCACAAAGTACCTCACTCGGCCGATCGTCATGTTGGTGGTCGAGCCGATGATCCTCCTGCTCTCCATCTACGTCGCCTTCATCTACGGCATCCTCTACCTGCTCTTCGGCAGCCTACCAGTGCACTACGTCGAGGTGCGCGGCTGGAGCGAGGGCGTAGGCTCGTTGCCTTTCCTCGCACTGCTCGTCGGATGCGGTCTCGGTTGCCTTGTCATGGTCGGCTTCAATCCACGCTACGTGCGCACGTGCAAGCTCAACAACAGCCAGCCCGTCCCCGAGGAGCGGCTACTGCCCATGATCGTCGGCGCCGTCGTATTCCCCGTGGGCTGCTTGTGGTACGCCTGGACCACGTATGCCTCGGTGCACTGGATCGTCCCCACCCTTGCCCTCGTCCCCATCGGCTGCGGCATTATTCTTCTCTTCCTCCAGGCGCTCAACTACCTCATCGACGCCTACCTCGCCTACGCGAACTCGGCACTCGCCGCCAACTCGCTCCTCCGCTCCCTCTTTGGTGCAGGTTTCCCGCTGTTCGGATCCCAAATGATGGTCAACCTCGGACTGCAGTGGGCCAACACGGTGATCGGCCTTATCGGCGTCGCCCTCCTCCCCATCCCTATCCTGTTCTACATCTACGGCAAGCGGCTGCGTCGCTCGAGCAAGTTTGCCACCTGATCCTGCTTTCCTGCCTCAATCGCATCTCTCTTTGCATGCTTCGAAAGTATTCATAGTCTCAACAATCCTGACTCTACTATTTTTGGTTCCTTGTAGCGATGCTCTGGCGCAAGATCGTTCTCCGCTCTTTACCGTATCACTTGCTAGGAGAAATTGCTGAGTTAGCAGCGTGTACGATATTGATTCCATGGCAGCTTCGTTCGCGCGACGCGCGCCATAAGAAGTGTGGGATCAGGACGCGGTGGCGGTGGCCCATTTGAGTTCGAGCTTGTGCGCTCTCGGGTTGCCGACAAAGGGGCCGATATACTCCATGTCGTGCTCGGACGTCTTGACGGGAGGATCGGTGGCTTGCGGATCAAGGTTAACGCCCGGCTGGAGGCAGCGAAAGACGCTTGCGCAGGTGAGGTGGAGGACGAGCGTGGCGAGGTTGCGGCCGATGCAGCCGCGCGGGCCGTTGGAGAAGGTGGTGATGCTTGACGCCATGGCGGCGTACCTTGCCGAGCGGAGCGCTTCCCGACCGGGCGCGTCCTTGTGGTCGTCGTCGGATGATTGCTGCTGCGCTTCGATCCAGCGTTCTGGACGAAACACCTCTGAATCATCGCCCCACAAAGCGCGGTCCCAGCGGCCTTGGACCCATGAGCTGCACGTAATCTCTGTGCCACCGGGGAGGAAGACGCCGTATTCGAGTCGCACGCCTTCGGGTGGCACGGTGCGCGGGAAGGGGCGCACGCCCGCCGGGTAGAAGCGGAACGTCTCCTTGAGCAGCGCGTTGAAGAACGCCAGCTTTACCACGGCCCTCTCCTCGGGCACGGCGTTTTCGACGTCGCGCACGAAAGTTTCCTGGTCCGGGATCACCTCGGCGAGCTCGTCGCGCAGGCGCGCGTACCAGTGCGCATGCGTCGCCAGCTGGAACGTCAGGTACGTCAGCGCCGCCGCCGTCGTCTCGACGCCCGCCACGACAAGCCCGCGCGACTCGCCCACCAGCGTCTGCTTGTCCAGCCCCTCACCCGTCACAGGATCGCGCGCGTGGATCAGCTTGTGCAGGACCTCGTGGGGATCGTCCCGCTTGGTAGCCAAGAACTCGTCAATGTAGCCCGTCATGAGCGCGTTCAGGTCGCGGATGCCTTCCAGGTCAGTGCGCAGCCGGCCAGGGGGCAGCAGCCTCACCAGGTGCAGCCCCAACGGCACACGACGCAGCCACTGGTACACGAACAGCGACTGTGGCAGCGACCCTGTGCGGCTCCGAATGCCCAGAAGCAGCTCGTTCAGCCGAGCTGCCAGCCAACAAAACACAAGACAGAACGAGCGGTCAGCGAAAAGAACGCAGTCGAGGCTGTAACGTCTCAATGTCACTGCGCGGAAGACGGTGAGGGAGGGAGAGAACGTACCGGTTTCCACCATGTGGTCTTCGCGACCAAAGGCAAACTTGGAGATGATGTCGCCGGTAAACTGCTGGTATGCGGCAAACACGTCTTCGTACGCACCTCCTTCCGCGGCCCTGTCAAACCTGTGGACGAGCGCTGCGATGCGGTTTGCGATGAATCCGCGGAACTCGGCGAGCGAGCTGGGCGCAAACGCATGCGAGACGATGCGGCGGCGCGAGGCGTGGTGCTTTGCGTCGCGCGAGCTGAATAGGTTCGCCTTGCCTGGCTCGGCGTTGAAGAGGTCGTAGAGTGGCGCCTTTTCGAAGCGCGTCGCCTGCGCAAACACGAGCTTGTGCGACGCGGGGTCGGCGATGTGCACCTGGTTGGGGCCAGTGCGCACGATGGGCGACGCCAGCGCGTCGTGCAGCCGCAGCAGCTCAAAGTGCTCCGTGTCCGGACAAGTCGAGTTGAGCAGCGTGTGGCGCGCGTCCGGCCACGCAGGCAGCCCATCCAGCGCAGCATTTGCCACCTTGGGGTCGCCAAACACCGCCGTGCGTTGCTGGCGCGTCCGAGCGAACACCAGCATCGCAGTCGCCAGAGCCATCACCAGCGCCACGCCAAGCTGCACGCCCTCGTCCGAATGGGCGCGCACCTCGGCCACCCGCGTGCCCACGTACGCCGTCCAGGCAGACATCTCGAAAAAGAAAAGGATAACAAGCGCTGTGCGTGCGAGGTCGATCAGAGCCTAGGTCGTCCCGTTCCGGTGTTGCCGGTCCGAATTGTATGTAGAAGGGAGGTACGTACGGATCACCATCGCGCCGCCTGGTGTCCGTCCGAGGTGGTCGATATATCTGTGTTGCCAGGTGAAAGTCGAGAAGGCTGGTCTGGGTGCACGGCCGCTGTCGAGTACTGCTCAGCCGCCGCCCTTCCGTCAATTTTTCGCGGTGCGACGAGCGACACGAAGACCCTGGCTCTTCAATCGAATGCAGGGCCCTTGGAAGCGGTACCTTTCGGCCCGCGGGCACTGATTCACACAAGCGTCTGTCCCCTTCGCGTCATGCCAACCCCGTCGTCCAACCGGTGAATCGCTGCAACACACCTAGGCATCGCTGACCGCCGCAACGATCCGTCTTAGCTAGCCAGGGCGCGTGTGACATGGCTCTTTTTGCCAGGGCCAAACGCGGGAAGGGGATGCGGCTCGGCCAAATCCTCTAGAATCCCAGGGAGCTCTTCAAAGGCAACGTACCGGCTTGACGGCCTTGCACGCTCCACAGCGATGCGGATCCAGCCGACCGGGATGCAGCGTTGAGGGGACCCGGTCGCCACTCCCATGTCCATCAACCCATCCGAACTCTCATCCACTCGTATCCTCCTGTGTCGTCGACAAGCACACGAATGTGATAGCATCGAAAGGAGGTCCAAGCACCACGCACCAGCCGCGAAACGATATGACAATGCTGAAGGAGGCAGACGGACTGTCGAGCCGCGTCAAGGTCTACTTTCTGCTCAAGCGACGGAGCGATATTACTCGACAGGACTTTCTCGCATACTGGCGCGGCGAGCACCGCAGGCAGGTGGGCCACCTTAAAAAGTGCAAGCTGTACATCCTGAAGGTGGAACAGGTAAGCCACGCCCCCTCTCCCCCCAAAAAACACCACCATCGTCCTCTAACCCTTTCATGCTTGACTGACGACGTTTTCTTCGTGTTTACCATTTGCTGATCCTGCCCGCCCGGGGGGTTGGGGAAGTTTCATCCGCAGGCGATGCTGCAGCTGGACATGGCCGAATTTTTCAGTTCGCATCCGTCGCAGGTGGAGCTGGACAAGCCCAGGGTGGACGACGAATGGGACGGGATCCTCATGTTTGAGCTTGCGTCCATGGCCGATCTCAAAGCCTTTTTCGCCGAGCACGAGTACGCCGCCTGCCTGCGTCCGGACGAGGCCAAATTCATCGACGTCGCCCGCTCGCGCATCATGGTCGGTCAGCCGCCCGAGTGGAACGACGACCACGCCGCCTCGTACGCCGCCGAATCGCCTCCTCACTAGCGAACCCCTTCCTTGAACGCCGAATCGCACGATGCATCTCGGAAATCGTCTGCTGGGAGAGGAGAAAGGAGCGGCAATTTTGAAAAGCTGGCGTTCGTAAGAAAGCCGTTGAAGAGATTTCGATTACAGTGTATGTGCGACGGTGAGACGCATGTTCGAGCGAATGTATCATTTCAGGGAGGAGTGTACAGGGCTAAGGTTTCGCGTCGCGAGGCTTGGAATTGACGAGGTGGAAGGTGAGCAGGTTGCCCGTGACGCGAGCGACACTGATCTCCAAGCCGGCGAGCTTGGCGCCGTAGGTGAAGGCGTCGAGCGTGTCGTACTCGTTGGCAAAGATGCCAATACGACGGAGCATGGCGCTGGCGTCGATGGCCGCCGCCTCCGAGTAGGCGCTGTCGTGCGTCCAACCGGCGCATCTGGGGCCTAGCACAGTACATCCGACCAGCGAACCGGCGGGCGCAAGCAGGCTCGCCATTCCCGTGAGGATTGCGGCCATCTTGCGTCTGGCGAGCTCGTGGCCATTTTCCCGGTCGGCGACGGCGGCGTAGGGGATGCAGTGTATGACCAGGTTGGCGACGAGCGTGTCGTACAGTTGTTCGACACCCTTGGCCGCCAGCACGCTCTGCAGCTGCTCGAGGCTGGTAATGTCTGCAGCGAGCCTGCGCGTGTTAGGATACGCCTCGACGGTGGGGGGGTGGGGCACGAGTCCCGCGCCCGAGACGCCGCGCGCAACGTCCGACCAAAGACGCTCGAGGCGTGCGTGGCTGTATTGCAAAGGTATGGGGTTGAGGTCGAGCAGGTCGTAGCTCAGCCGTGCGCCCGCCGCCGCCGGCGATGCCACGAGCGACCTCTGCGCCAGCCGGCGCAGCGCCGCCGAGCGCCGTGGAAAGTAGGCCGAGCCCGGCCCTATCTCGATGGTGCGCTGGCCGATCGTCGCCTCGTACATCTGGGCGGGGAGCTCGGTATCGGCGCGCCACATGAAGGGCAGCATGAAGCGCCACACGTACCAGTCGTAGCCGAAGAGCGCCTCTTGCGGGTACGTCTCGACCTTTTCGCGCTGCTTGGCGCTGCCTCCGCTCGAAAAGGATCGCGTGGCCAGACAGTGGGCGTGGAAGCGTCCGACGAGGATCAGGAGTCGGTAGAGCTGCAGTGCCAGCGTCACCGCCACACCGGCGTACAGCCGGGCCAGCAGCGAGGCAGGCGCCGCCGTCCGATCGTGAGCTTGCGATTCCATGCCCAACTTCTGCTCCTATGCGTTAAAGATCGGGTCCGCTGGATCTGCTTTGTCGGTAGCCAGCTGTTCACCTAGGCTGGCTCGAGGTGCGTGGAGCTGCAGCAGGCATTACTTATACTCGACCTGGTAACGGTCTCGATAGAAGGTTGCCGGACTGATCCCAAAGTCGACAGCCGGTCAAGCGACGAGCCGAGCGAGCGTGACGGCGAGCCGCACCCGCCTTCTTCTTGCATTCCGACCACGCGTGAGCGAAAGTCGAAGGCCGGCTGACACCACGTCGAACGGTCGGACCCTGAATCGCTGGACCACGGATGAGAGAGGCCCCGCGTCGAGCCCGGGGGCCGAGATGGACCGTGCAGCCCGAAAAAAGTAAGACATTTTAATTTTTTCAAGAAAAGGGAGGACAAAACAGAAGAAAAGTAAAAAGAAACAGACCTGTTGCCCGTAGAATACGCATCGACAGCGCACTTTTCGACAGCATCGCCATCCTAGCCTCGCACAGGGCAACTCTCGACTCTCTCACGCTTGCCAATCGGTCGTCCTCAATGATGATGACATGGTCAGCCTTTTTTTTGCCTGCCCCCCTCCCCCGCCCTCCTTTTCCCTCTCCCTTCGCGCTGTGTGCTAGTACTACTGCCGACCCGGCCAAGTGGGGCCGGAGCGCTTTGTTCACATCGTCCGTCGAGGGCTATCCGGAAACGCGACGATTCCTTCTCCCTGCCCCCCTTCCTCCTTCTCCCCTTCCTCCTTCCACACCACCACCCATACCTACTCCACTTTCTGATCCTCCTGCGAGTCATATAGAGGCTTGACAAGCGCTGAAGCCATGTCGAACACGCATGCCGGGTCCAACAATTTTTGGGCCGATTTCCTCCTCGGAGGAGTGTCGGCAGCCATCTCCAAGGTAACTTACCCCCACACACAATGAAGCCTCCATCTCGAGCAGCTTGTTCCTGAAGGGCCAGCGCTGATGTATTTCCGTCCGGGTTGACACTTTGTTGGTGGGTTTGTAGACGGCAGCTGCGCCGGTGGAGAGGGTCAAGCTGCTGCTGCAGAACCAGAACGCGATGATGAAGGCGGGACGGCTGGACCATCCGTACACGGGTGTGGTCAACTGTTTCTCGCGCACCTACACCAGCGAAGGGCTTGTCTCGTTCTGGCGGGGCAACACGGCGAATGTGATCCGCTACTTTCCGACGCAGGCGCTCAATTTTGCGTTCAAGGACTTTTACAAGCGGCTCTTCAGCTACGACAAGAAGACGGAGTACGGCAAGTGGTTCTTCGGCAACGTTGCGTCGGGCGGGCTGGCGGGCGCGACGTCATTGGTTTTTGTCTACTCGCTCGACTATGCGCGCACGCGGCTGGCCAACGACGCCAAGGGCGCGAGCGGCACGCGCCAGTTCAAAGGCCTCCTCGATGTGTACCGCAAGACGCTCGCTTCGGACGGCATCGCCGGCCTGTACCGTGGCTTTGTGCCGTCCGTCGTCGGCATTGTCGTGTATAGAGGTCTCTATTTTGGTCTGTACGACTCTCTCAAGCCCGTCGTCCTCGTCGGACCGTTGGAGGGTAACTTTTTGGCCTCGTTCGCCCTCGGTTGGTCCTCCACGGCTCTGGCTGGCCTTGCGTCGTACCCGCTCGATACGGTCAGGCGCCGCATGATGATGACTTCGGGCACGGGCCAGAACTACAAGAACTTTGCCGTCGCTCTCGCAGAGATCATCAAGGCAGAGGGCGCGCACAGCCTCATGCGCGGCGCAGGCGCCAACATCCTCCGTGGCGTCGCCTCCGCCGGCGTGCTCTCCATTTACGACCAGGCCCAGATCCTACTGCAAAAGACCGCCGAGACCATCAAAGAGTCGCCCGCCGTACAGAAGATCGCCTAAACCCCCGTTGCTCCACGCTTCACATCAACATCTTATCTTTTCTCTCCTTGTTTGCTCCCACACAAAAGGGATCGGCGTGGCTTCGATAGACGATGCGCAATCACACTCCAAAGTTCCTGCTCGACATGAGAAACTTTGCACGATGCACGGTGCGGCAAGGCAGACAAGCCCCGAACTGGAAAGATGATCTGGATGGACGTGCGCAGCCACACCCAAAATGGCCCCTGACCACGACCCGGTTTCGCGGGGTTTCGAAGAAGGGCATGTGACGAAATCTCAAATGCAAAGCAGGACTCAAGGGCTAGCAGAGACTCTCGATTGGTAGGTGTAGAGCATCCAATGCCATGAGCAGGGTACAAGGAGCGAGGTGTAGGGTACAAGGTGCGAGGTGCGAGGTGTGCGAGGGACGCGTTCTAGCAGAGGTTGGAGTCGGTGGGCGGGTTTGCCGGAGTAGCCTCTTTGCCAGCGAGGAGTTTCCAGACATCCAGGCGGTAGGCGGCCTGCCTGCCTGTGGGGAGGAGCGACCAGTCGTGCTTGTACGCATCCTTGTAGCGCCTCGCCTTATCGGCGTCGATGATCGGGAGCGCCTCGAGGACGAGCAGGGCAGTGCGGAGAAAGAGCGTATGGTCTATCTGGGCGACGCTCTGCGGCGCTATGGAGCGTCTCTGCCTGGGAGCCCACTCGGACCCGGGCTCCACGTGCGCATCGAGCGTGCCGCGCGGCGTGAAGTGCGGCAGTCTGCTCGGGTCCGGCATACGCTCGGCCCTCGGGAGGAGCAGCGACGGCACGCCGCGGCGGCGGCTGCTTACGCGCGCGCCGCACCACATGAGCACGCGCAGCGACTTGGCGACGTGCTCGTCGAGGTGCATCGCCGCGCGCTGGCCGATCTTCCACCAGAGGTTGTGCTCCTCGATCTCGCGCTCCCACCCCTGGCGAACGCGCGTGTAGTCGACCGAGGCCGGCTCAAACGATGCCGGAGGCACGCGCAGCTCGGCACGCTCGCCCGAGAGGCACAGCTCGCTGAACCGGAGCGCAGGTTTGCCGCGCGACACCCACGAACAGCATGCCGTTCGGAAGTGCATCGTCAGGAACGCCACCCGACTCCACGGCGTCAGCAGCGGCAGCACCACAGCGTACGTAAACAGCGGCGTCTGCAGGTGGCAGCTGCAGAACCCCACGAAGAGACAGAAAAGGAGAGCCAAGAGAGCTTTTGCATGTCAGTACGGCTTCCCTGTCCGCGGAGAAAAGGGAAAGGGGAGTGGCTGCTTACAAAAAAAAGTCCATCTTGAGCCGCTCGTTGGGGCTGGACGTGGTGCCAAGGATAGCGGTGATGAGCCAGATGAGCTCCTCCGCTTTGAGGCAGACGTCGGTCCAGCCTTGATCGATGTCGACGCGCCAGCGGCGGGCGATGGCGGCGATGGCGGCGCCGTGCGAGTGGGCGCCGGCGATGACCGTGTCGCCCGCTTTGATGTCGCCGCAGTCGTCGAGGTGCGGCGCGGCGTCGAGGTGCGCCAGCGTCTCGAACGCGTTCGTACCGGCATACTTGCGCGCGTCGAGCTGCGAAGACGCCAGCACGTCGAACTCGGGCACCACGCCCTGCTCGGTCTGCCGCCGATGCTCCTCCACCGCCACTGAGGAGCGCGGGCGCTGCTCGAGCATCGCACACACCTCGTCGCTCGGAAAGAGGGATTCCATGTCGGCGTGCGACACCGCCGTCTCCGCCAATGCTATCCAAACCAATCCCAAAAAAGGAGACGACATGATAAGGTCAGTCAATCGAAACCCTAACCCCCTTCCGCAACACAATCACATTCTTCGATGGCCGGTCTCTGGTGCTGGAACGAGGCACCTACCTTGAGCAAGCGAGTCGTTGCCACCGCACTCGAGAGCGTGGCCGAGGTGGATGATGGGATGGAGGATGCCTGAAAAAAGGCGCGCAAGCATGGCGACACCGGGCGCGTTGGCGTCCTGCGCAAACACGTAGCGCTCGATGGTGGCGACGGCGCCTCGCACGTCAATTTCGGCGAGGAAGAAGAGCAGGAAGCTCGAGTAGGACGACTCGAGGCCGAGCATGCGCGTCCAGTTGTGCCGCGTGATGGGCTGCGCCAGCGGCGCCATCAGCGGCCGCGCGAACGACGCGTGCTGCGCAAACAGCTCCGTCAGCCGCTCCGGCCGCGCCCCCAGCGTATAGATCACCACCGCATGGTGCAGCAAATGGCTAACAACACCGAAGAGATGCACAACATGCAGATCATGCCAGAGAGATATAGTGTGAGTTGACGATATTACCTTTACGGAGGGGGTGTGAGTGTTCAGGTGGAGGTGAGGGAGGGGTCAAAGGGACGTACTTGTGCCAACGGATCGAATTCCAGTAGATGTGGTGGCGCTCAAAGTCGGCACGCAGGAGCAGCTTGAGCTCGTCTTCGGACTCTGGCGACGCTCCAGGTGCGACAAAGAGCCATCGTGGTGGGTTGCGCACCGCGAGCGCGCGCAGGGCCGCCTCCCTCTGCTGCTCGGCAACGTGCAGCTCGTCTGTTGTAGTCCCTTCGCCGCCGCCGTTAGCAGCGCGCACGGGAAACGCAAACGGCCCTTGCACTTGCATGTCGAATCGATCTCTGTACTTTAATTCTCAACCCGCTCGGAAAGGATTTGAACTAGGGAGGCCAAAATGGGGTGGGGGAGGGGGGAATTAAAGTGCACCGGGCGCTTCAGATCTTATAAGTGTTCAGGGCGTGCACGCTCTGGTCGAGCGGCGGCGGTTTAGCGGTACTTACGAAGCAGCTATGCCGCCAGGTGCGTACACGGTGCATGAACGACAGGAACCGACTAGAGGTGTGCCACATCGCGGGCCGAGAGCGTCGGGCGTGGATGTGGCCGAATTAGGGCCCCCCGAGTGTTTGGGATCTGGCTCCGCTCCCGTGGTTGTAGGCGGTGGGAAAGAAAGCGGGAGTTCTGCGTTACACGGATCTTGACCACCCAAAAGCGCCATCCTCCACGTCCCAGCTGCTCGCGTCACAGGGGAAAAAATCCGTTGCTCCACATTCAGGCTGGAATTTTGGGTGGAAATACTGTATATCACCGCAGCGGATAGCGCTCGGGCACCGAGACGAGTGCTCGCTGCGCAGGCAAGTCGACCCGAGTGGTACCGTTGGCGTTGCCGGATGTGCTGCCTCACGAAGGGTGGGGTCGGTCGTAACGGTGGACAGACAACTCTGCTCAGAAACCTTGATTGCTCAGAAACCTTGATCTCTAGCATCAAAGTGTGAATTGTGCCGCCGCCGCTGGTTTTCTGGTGCGGATATCCACGGATCGACTCGCCGCTCGGTCCGGCCCCCGATCTCATTTGCTCTTGTGGAGCGGTTCAGTGCGGCAAAAAGAGAGACACAAACTGGCCGAATGCGATGACATCCTGTTCAAAGAGGGTCCCCACGCCTCGCTCTCCAATATTGACCGTGGCTTTGCCCAACGCCCTACCGGTCACAAGGCTCTCGTAGGCCTTTGGCGCGTCACACATGAGAACTGGCTGTCGACGGGACCAGGTAAGTGTCGACGAGCTCGGGGAGGCCGTCGCGCATGGAGCCGCCCATGGTCGACTTGCGAGGTACGCCGCCGAGCCACCAGGGGAGGCGGAGCGACGACAACGCTAAACGCTTCGAGCCGGCAGCTGCGACGAGGATCTAGTGTCTCTCTGGATGGATGCGAGAGTCGAAGGTCGGAACGAAAACTTCGAATTGGTCTCAAACGAGACGGGGCGGGTTAGGAACCCGGGAAAAGGCGAGGGGTGATTCACGGCTGACCATTTCAGGTACGACAACACCAGCTGTCGAAGCGAAACAGCTGAAGCTTGTACTGGTGGCAGAAGGAAGAGGACAGAGCGTTCAGAGCGGTTTCGATTCGGCTAGGTTAGAGTGCAGAGACTGTATTATTGAGCTGATGTAGCCCAAATCGAATGCGGAGGCGTTCTAGGACGGCCTAAGAGTTTTTGCGTGGACCCAACGAAAGGTCGGAAAGTTCCTCCTCCTCCTCCTCCTCCTCCTCCTCCTCCTCCTGCCGCCGCCGCTGCTGCTGCTGTGGCTAGCCCATAGCCTGAAACGCTGCTGATAAAATTGTCGTTGATCCGGTCCAGATCCACATGGAGAGGCACCTTGCTGCCAAGAAGGCAGAACCCTCGAAGAAGATCTTTGGCCTGGGTCAGTGCTGCGCAAACCATCTCCCGCAGCTCAGAGACGATGACCTGGATCCTCTAGTGCTCGTGTTGGCGATAGTAGCAGCCAGGGTAGCAGCAGCTTGCGGTTGATGGTCAACCAACAGATACCTCAAATTCTTGCCCAACTTGAAAAGCAGCTGAACGGGCACGGGGGTCTGGACTCCAAAATCCTCCTGGTCGTCACTCTTGAAGGCTGCATTGTGAGATTTGCGGTGGTTGTGCATGGACGTCCTAGATACCAGAGTGTACACACATCTGCCGTTCTTGCTGGATGCAGCCAGCTCCTTGACCTGTGGCGCGGGCAGATGAGCGTTGCCAATGTCTACATAGAGAGGATGGGCGAGGTTCAGTTGCTGAAGGAGCTTGTCGAGCAGCTCCTTGATTTGTTTTTCCAGGCGCAAGCCATGGAGCTTGTTGATGTGGTCCAAGACAGGATCCACACTGGAATTGAGAGCTTGCTTGAGGTTGCAGTCAGTACCTGTGCACCGAAGTACACGTGGATGTTCAAGCAGCCGCAAGTGGAACACAGCAAGAAGTCGGGCAACCTCCTCTGGGCCAAGGGCAGGCTCTGCTACAGCTGCTTCAGCAACCTTGGCTGCGGGGGGTAGAGCACAACCAGCTGCTTCGAGAGGCAGCTCAGCTGCATTGGCAGCCGAGGCAGAGGCTGACTCCATGCTGGAGCCAGTAGCGTTTGTCTCAAGCTCCTCTTCTTCAGCCTTGACCTGTCCAGCAGGCCAGCTGCTGGGGTCGGAGACAAGCTGTCTGTTTGCGCGGTGGAAAAAAAGAAAAAGGAAAGAAAAAGAAGGAAGAAAAAAGAGTCACAGGCAGAAAATAAAGGTGGTTGCTAAGGTACAGTACAGTTTTGTACTGTAGTGCTGCTGATTTCACAGCCATCGCAAAATTTCAGGAATCTGGTTGAGCCAGTTGAAAAGCGTTTGGTGGCAAATTGGTTTGATGTTAGCCGCTGCGCTCAGACCTTGTGGGTGGCAGATTCATTAGGTACCAACAACCTGGTCCAGCGAGATGAACTCTCAGTTGGATACCCACAAACATGCTCTGGACTCGTGGGTGGCAGATTAATCCTGCTCCCACATCCTGGTTCAACCAGACAATCTGGTCTGAACAAGCACGCTTGGAGCTTGCAGGTGGTGCTCTAAATTGGTACGAAAACTCTGGTTTGAGTGGACGGCCACACATTCAACGGAAAATTGGTTTGGTGTGCACGCTCAGAGATTGCAATGGCAGTTTTAATTGGTACCATAAATCTGTTTCCAAGATTTCAACAAACACTTGGAGGAGCAACGAACAGGTGGAGGCGCAATGGTGTTTGTCGCAGCCAAAAAATGGATTTTGGAATTGTTGGATTTTCTACCCCGACCAAGCGTTTGTCACTGACCAGACCAGTCTCAATTTTTGTTCGTTGCTCAATTTTGGAATTTCCTCTCGATTTTTTTTTGGCGGGGGCGCGTGCTCGTCTCGAACAGCAACGAACAACGGCATACCACTAGGTCAAAGTGAAAGCGCGGATCTTATCCTAAACATGAGAATACGTCGTCTGCGGACCCATTCGGGCTGGATTGGGTTTGTAGTGTGGGTTCACAGAAAACCCAAGCCGGGTAAGTTTCAGGGGGCTCCTGTCGGAGGGTGGGCTCCGTGTTGGGTGACCCGTGGTGTGTTCGCTCGGTACTCGACGCCCCGAATCCACCCGCCAAACAGAATGTTTCGGTGGTAATCTTGGGGGCTGGATACGCGATTCGGTTTGAAACGGCACGGGGAAGCTACGCTCACCAAATTAAACAACACGCTTTCAAAACTGTGTTTCTGCAATCGCAGACATATTCGGATGTGAGGGAGCATGCTTCCGCTCTTCGCTGAAGTGGAACGGCGAAAGACAGACAAGAATAAAGGACGCAAAATGTGAGCTGAGAGAGATACAGAAAAGCCAGGAAAGGGATACATTTGAGCAAGATCAGGACGAATAGATGAGGCTGCGTTCTCCGATTGCGTTACCATTGGCGTCAAGCTGGGGCGTGCAGACCTCACCAACACTTCCGTTACCAGCCTCGTCATCACACCTATCCATACGGCCTTCCACGCACTGTAAGATCGGGGTCCAGCCGATGCTGGCAGACACGCCAGCCCTGTGTAGGTGGGAGAGCGAGCATGTGGCGGGCGAGCGAGAAGACGAGGAAAATGAGCAAAAGAAGCAAGATGAGCAAGGTGAGCAAACGATGTTGAAGAGCAGAGGTCAAGCTCGGCTGCGCAAGACGGAAGTGGGCTACTCACGGGACCGACATGGTGTACTCGAGGGTGGTGCTGGTGGCTTCAGCAAAATCGAAGCCAACAGTGACCGACGCAATGCCGAAGGGGTCTCCGACAGAGGAGGAGAATGACGTGGTGGTGCTGACTTCTTGAGTCCCGCCTGACGAAACGTCGGCAGGGCCTTCCTGCACATCGGAGATCTGCCTAGTGTCTCCAGACCTGGTGTAGGTGCGTAGCTGTTCGAAGCTGTCGCAGTTTCGCTTTCGAAGTAGGTCTCGCTTGACCGAATTGCTGTTGCTGCTGCTGTTCTCGCCGTTGCCGTCTGAATGGTCGGTGACGCTGCCGCGTGATTCGATGGACACGGAGCTGGCAGCGAGCCCGAGCATGTTGCTGCGCAGAGTAGCTTCGTCAAGACGCTCTCCTCTGTATTCAGGTGGGTACCCGACTTGCTTGGGCTCGATCACGCGTCCATCCTTTCCAACGAGGAGGAGCGCACTGCCGCCGCCGCCCTGGCGTTTGAAGAGAGCTGCAAACATCTCAGACGTGCCGCGACGAGTCGAGCGTGCACCTACGCCGGTAGCCTCGTTGCACTCGGCGGTACCGCAGCAGCTTGAAAGCATGTAGGTCGCCTCCACAAAGATGGGAGCGCATACTGGATTGCGAAAGACGCCAACAACCTTGCCGCATCCTGGCTCACTGACATCGGCGGGCGAACGTACGATCGTCGCACAGTCTGGCGTGAAGTTCTGGATGTTCCAGTACGTCTCCCAAGTCGAAAGCTGCTTGTTGAAGGGTGGGTCAAAGTTGTCCGTCAGCGAGTTGCCCGAATCGTAGACTTGCCGGCGTCGAATCGATAATCAGAATATGAAGAAGAGGATAGAGGGATGAAAAATTTGGTAAGCCATTCCAGAGTCACGAAGCCCAACAGAGCTATTCTCACCTGCGCAGGCAGGATAAGGTTGGTTGCCGTAAATTGATACGGGGCAGTCCTGGCATCCCGAGTCGCGGCAGAGATCTGCCTCCTGTGCCTGGACAATGCTTGAAACGAGGAGCAGGGCGGCGGCAACCCAAGGGGCAAGCGAGGTGGTGCGCTGCATGACGACGTTCGGCAAGGATGGCAAAGGCGAGAAGGGCGCAGGAGGGGTACAGAGCGCGTCAAAGAAGATGCTGCTATCAGAAGAGGAAAGGGAGATTGTGTGCTGGGCGACAAATTTCAAGACTTTTCTTTCAAGCCCCTCTTTTAAGTGTTCAGACGGTTCTCAGAAAGCTCTCCTGGAGTTTCCAGACATGCGGTCGGGCATGCTTGGAGTTGGCGCAGGACTGGCGTCAACAGCTGCCGCCAAAATCTTCTGCTTCAATGTTTGCCAGAACTTGCGTTGCCGCTAAGATCGAGCAGCCAGATCGAAGGATGTCGGAACAGCCTGCCCCGGTCGCCGTCGAGATCGCAGGAAAGTACGTCAGACGAATTGTTGACTCGATCCTGCTGGAGCATGGCTGCGAACGTTGCTTACCCAGAGCGACCGAAGAGGCGATGAGCATCGAGACGAGGGGAGTGCGCGAGCCTCAGGCAGACGAGTTTTCCCGTGTCTCCGTTCCTATACCAAGTGATCTGCAGGGGGTCTTCTTCTCGCTTGAGCGTCCTGTCCGCAAGTCTTTGCGAGCTGCGGTGACACAGAAGCCGAGATCATCCGTGGTGTCTCGCCTTGCGTCTCGTGACCGACTTGGAGAAAAGCTGTCACCTTCTTCAACTTCTTCCTCTTCTCCTCTCCTTCCGGACGTCTCGCACCCAGCATTAGTCCCACAAGCACGAGAGAGAGAGGCAACAACAAAGTTCTTGGCACACGTAAGTGTAGGCGAAAATGCGTTTTGGCGAGCATGGAAGATGGCGTGGGAAAGGTCCCGCCTGACGGTGAATGCTTGGAGGCGGCAAACGTCACCACGAGCGAGTGTCTATCTTCAGCAGACAGATGTATCGACGCCGGGGGAGCAAACTCGGAGGATGTTCTCGGGATTTCTGGGAAGCGAGGTCGAGTGGCTCAGGAACCCGGGAACATGCAACGGTTGTTCTACGGCTTTTTTTTTTCAGGCACGTCAACAACAGCTGTCGACGCGAATCAAATGCAGGGCGTACCAGGGCGTACCAGTGGCAGGAGACGTGGAACGGAACTTTCAGAGCGGCTTCTACTCAGCTAGAGGGGCAGGGTCCACATCGTTGTGCTATTGCAGCCCGACTTGGCTGGCGAGGCGTTCCTGGATGGACGCGGCGTTTTTGGAAGGGCTCGACGGAAGGTCGGAACGCCAAGACCTGCTCCGCGCAGCGTTGCATATTCCCGAATCCGAAGCGTTCGGCTCGCACTTGGCCGATCTGCGCCATGCCTTCGATTTCCCCAGGCAAAAATTGACCGGAAATGCCAGACAATGCCGGAATGACGTCGTCGTGCTCCCTTGGAAGGCGGGCGCGGCGAGTTTCTTCGCCATTCAGTACTTTGCCCTCGCCCTTGCGTCCCATTCCGAGCGTGCTTGTACAGTAGCCGTGCGGGTCGTTTCCGTGTGGAAGCAGGCTGACTGCATTCCACGAGCTGCTGCCTCAATGCATGAATGCCAGGTCAATCCTTTCCACATCCTAGCGCATCGCCAAGACGTCCTAGTGAGTCTCACTTGCCGCGTTTATGTTGATGCGATGAGCACCGCTCTTCTTTTTCTTTGCTGGCCCGAGAGCTCGCATTCACATACGCACAGCAACTCTGCCAAGAAATATGACGCCAATCATCCGCACTGATGCAAGCAGCCTGATTTCCGCGGAATTCACCCCGAGTCTGCCTCTTGGCAAAAGGGTGTCAAGACACTTTGCTGAGAATGAACGAGTGGCAGTTGTAGAAAAGGGGCAACACTCCCACCACCCACCGCCTCGCACCTTCCTTTTACGCACAACTTTCTTCTGTGCTCTCTGGGTAGGAACGTGCCCACATACCAGCCCGTTTACAAGGCAACACAGCAAAACGCACATCCATCGCATCCCCAAGCTCTTCGATCATCGCACGAAGATGTCTGGAACAGGGGCGGCAGTGTGCAACGGCACGGCGCTTCCAACCTCGACGGCCTTCCAGATCGCGGCAGAACGTCCGTTTTGCGGGTATGTCGGCTCTTCGCCCTCTTCCTCGGGTGCGTCTGCGATCCAATCTTGCTGTGCTGGCCCAGTGCTGAACGGAAGCCAGTACGATGCCAGCGAAGCAGGCGCAGCGGCACCACGCAAGTATGAAGGCTGCATCGTCTACTGCCAGGTCGCCGAGAAGTTCGCACGACGACCTACCGAGTGGCAACGCTGTGTCGAGCCGCTCCTACCACCGTCTTCTGCGGGCGATCAATGGACTTGTGATGTCGGGAGGAACGTCTCGATCAGTGGTGCCATCGTAAATGGCTCCGAGTCCAACAACGGGGCCAATACCGGCTCTTCGAATGGAGCTGGAAGCGATTCTAAGATCACAGTGTCGAACATGCTCCTACCGCTGGTTCTCATGAGCCTTCTGGCTTTGCAGCTGGTCTTGCCCGCCGCCGCAGCAACAAGATGAGTGTCAGCGGTGGGCGCACCAGGTCGCTCCTACAATCTCGACAAGTTTTGTCATCGAATGGCCTTTGAAAGATAATCCACTATGATGCTCAGCCAAGCTTCCTTTCGAACCTTCGTCCTAACACGTTTCCTGCCACTACATCTCATTTGTATTTTGCCTACTTCAATACGACATGTCTCGCCGACGTTGGGCCTGTGCTGGGCTCGATGTAGTAACGCGGCAGTCAAACACACTGCAAGGCAGAACAGTGTTAGTCCGATTTTGCAAGGATGTCGCGGGCCAAGTTGCCGCGCTTTACTTACTTCATAGCACAAGTCACCGGCCCGAGTGTCCATAACGTTGCGGACCGAGACTTGATCGATTAGATTGCCAAAAGAGGGCAGCATATCGTCGATGGTGGCCTGGAAGGGCCCGTCATGGGTGCTGGCGCCTGGAAGATTGCCCGCATAGTCGCTGAGACGTTTGATGTCCTCATCTTGCCACAGGGCCCAGAGTCGATCGATCTGGGCGTGGTGGAGGAAGAAGAGCGGCTCATTCGGTGAGGAGGCTGGACCCATGTCGCCAGCAATGTACTGGTGCACGGCGCCGTGAGGGGTCCCTTCTACATAGTAGCGATAGTCGTTGAAGGCAGCGATCGCTTGTCCCTTTTGGACGGCGGTGGAGTTGAAATTGCCGATCAGAAAAGGGTTGTTCTCGAAGTTGCGTCGGAGCATGTGTGGGTCGCTGTAAGGTTCGTCATCGTCGCCCGGCATTATGTCCAGGGCGAAATGGCTAAAGGGACCTTGCGTTACAGTATTGGGGCTTTCGCCATCGCCGCTTCCACCAAAGCCATCGATAGGCGAGAAAATGGGGTCGATCTTCGGATTGCCCGTGTCGGCTGCCTTGGTCCAGTCCCAGTAGGGCGTAGGACCGGTGTATCCGCATGATTGAAGCGCTTTCTCGCGAGCCTGCACGAAGCGGCGATGCCAAGGTAGGAAGGCTGCAACAGAGTGGATGTTGTGGTTCTGCTGGATATGAATGGATGGAAAGTCGTCGTAGAGACTCTGCGAGGCGCTGATAGCTGTCTGAGAAGGCTTGGTCGTGAGGCACTTGACCGCGTCGAAATACGACTGCTTTTGGGCCGCGGATAGGGAGTTCCAGTTGACTCGCTGCTTGAGCGAGCTGCACTTTACGGAAACCCGCCCGTGCAGAGGACTGTGCTGTTGAGCTTCGAGAGGCAAGGACGCAGCCTGACGAGCTACCAACACGAGGAAAAGAGCAGAGAACCAAGGTACGGCAGACATAGCTGAGCAGGATCAAGGCAAGAGAGGCTGTTTGGGGGTCATGTGGACGAAGCTCCAAGCACAAAACGAACCCAGACTTTGTATGAAAGCTCTGATATGGAATCAAGGCGCCGATATCTCTTTCGCCACCCTCTTGCACATAGGATTATCTGGTAATGAGCTTGGTGAGAAGGTCCGGCACTGGCATCCGATCGGTGTGTTCATTGTTCAACGCCATTCAGAAGGCGGTGGGTTCGGGTATGCAGAGTGGGTGTCGGAATTGAGGCGCTGACCATTGTTATGTCTGCAGATCGGAGGGCTGCGTCGTCTTCTTACATGCGCAGACCAGGGCAGAAGAAAAGAATCGTCTTGCAGCTCGAAACGTAGCTCATGCGGGCTTCGCATATGCTCGATGTGTTTCCATGCAGGCGTAAGAGGCTAGCGTTCTGTCTCTGTCATATTGCCGATGCTTTCGCATTTGTGCCTTGGGCCCGTTGTTCGGCGTCAAGGGGCTCTTTGTGCGTCGTTCGGACCTCCAACGCCGCACCCCGGACTTGCGTGGTGGTGCGTTTCCTCAAAGCGGCCGACCCCTCGAATTTGAAAGGCTGCGCGGCGTCTAGAAATCGCCGGTGACGCCGCCAGCAGGCGGCGAGATGAGAAAATCTTCAGCCTTTCGTCGTTGGTCCCTGGTAAAATGCGACAGAGGATGACCGAGCCCAGGATAGGGAAGGTGCTGAGGCTGGTACGGAGAAATGGAATGTGTAGACCGAGATTCCCGAGGATGCCGACGTTTACCCGCGCCACGCACGTATCCTTCAGCTAGCGCCGGAAAAGCGCTTGCGGTAAGAACCGCAGATCAGCACCAAAAAGCTGTTTTCGGATGTAGCTTCCCTTTTGCCGATCGAACTAGTCGCTAGCCGAGTGATCGTGTTCGCATCCCTCTCATCCGGACAGCTAGATTCGCGAGCGAGGCATAGAGAATGCCGCAGCCAGTACAAGTTTCCCGTGCGTCTGTAAAGCGGGTCAGGCAGGTGTGTAAGGGCGGAGAGGTTGTAACTGTCCACCGAGCCTGGCAGCAGGTACTTCAAGCCAGCTGGCTGGGGCCCCGCAAAATATTCACTTTGCCGATCCTGGCGCGCTTGTCGCGAGGCCGAACTGATCCTGCCCCACACTCGATCGGCCGTTCTGCTCGGCCAGCCTCCGTACCAAATCTTCTAGAGATTGCCGAAAACGGCCACGAGACCTACTAGGCTTCGCACAGAGTAGCGAGATCACCGTTTATCCCGTAGAAAGTTACTGTTGGCAGACTGCTTTCCAGGTCCGTGGTACAGTGGCGTCTGCAGCTGGCAATGCAGCGGTGACACACGGGCGATATAAGCCCGCGGCATTCATGCGACTGGAGCCTCATCCCCCTATCCCTCCCTCCCTCCATTGGACCAGGCTGTGCACCTCCTTGCCTTGCTTCGTCCCCTTTCCTCCAAGCCACGCAACATCTTCGAGATGCGATCCTTCCCCGCCATTCTAAGCGCCGTCGTGCTCGCCATCTCAGGCGCTCGTCTCGTACAGGGATTGCCTGCACCTGAAATCAACGGCACGATGCTGCAAGAGAGAGCCAGCGGAGCTGCCGGCTTCCTTTCGGCCACCTTCCTCGGCGACGTACCCCACGTCTATCTTCACTACTCCAAGGCCAGTGCGCCTGTCACTTTCAGTGCCGTGTCGGGTTCCAAGGGCGAGCTGGTACCCACCCTGGGTACGAAAGGTGCCCGTGATCCTTACATTTTCCAGAACCGAGTCAACGGAAAGGTGAGCAGGGCTGTTGCAGAGAGTGAGAGCGATGGGCGGAAGCTGATGACTTGCGGCTATCATTGTGACTCGTACAGTTCTACATCCTGGCGACGGATCTGGACATCGGCAAGACTAACTGGGGCGATGCCCAGTCGCACGGCTCGCGTAGCATCCACGTCTGGGAGTCGAGCGACGGTGTGAACTGGTCGACCGAGCGACTGGTGCAGCTGATGGATTCAACGGCGGGATACGTGTGGGCGCCGTCCGCCACGTGGGATCCTGCGGCTAACGCTTATGCCGTTTTCTGGGCATCGCAGACGTACGCAGCTTCGGACACTGGTCACACTGGAACGCCCACAGGTCCGTTTGTCTACTATTCGCACACGACGGATCTGGTCAACTTTACCACGCCCAAGCGATGGGAGAGTGCCAACTTCGGCAACAAGGTGATTGACCAAGAGATCCTCGATCTGGGCAACGGCAACATGGTTCGATGGTACTCGGACGTCAGCGGCGGCACAGGCGTGGTGATGGACAAGACGTCCGGGGGGCTCTTCGGCACGTGGCAGCGCATCGGTAAGCCGGTCAACGTGGTGTGGGAAGGACCTGCGATCCAACGTGACATCCTCAACCCTTCCAAGTTCTACTTGTGGGAGGACAACTACGGCGGACCTGGCTACTCGTGTTTCCAGACGACCGATCTCTACACCATCCCCTACGCCGCCTGCGACCCGGCTCTCTCTCCTTCCGGCATGCGCCACGGGGCTGTGGTGCAGGTGGACCAATCGGTGCTCTCCGGCCTCGAGTCTGCTTGAACGACCGCTGAGCTTTGCTCGCAAGTCAGGCATGCGCACACCAACGATTATCCTCGATTCAATGTCCTTTTCCGATCGATCGAGAAGCAAATGGCACCTTCTTTCTGTGTTAGCGAGTGATTGACGTGAGGCTTCCGGTGTTGAAAAAGCAAGTTTGTGGGCGGCTCCTTGCCTGTCCGGGCGAAGCCAGCCACAACCCGGAACCCGGAAGCTGAAGGAGTCGGCAAATGTGCGGGACAGCAATCGGGAGGCCCAGTGTTCATCCATCGGGCTTTTTTTCCGCTCGAGAAAGATTGAGCAACGCGACGCAGCGGTCGAAAAAAGCGCCTTGCTCGAGACCAACACTTGGCAACGTTTGGTTTGACCACCAGGACGATCCACGGCACCATCGTCGCGCTGCGCACTGATCAGCATCGCCAACATGGAGCAGCAGCTAGCGGCGTGTCTGGAGGCAACTCTCTCGCCTGACGCGGCGCTGAGAACCAACGCCGAGTCACAGCTGGAGTCGTTGCGTGCGCCAGAGCACGACCCACTGGGCCACGCCGGCCTCGGCTTCGTCAAAGTGCTGCTCGACCCCTCGACACCCGTTTACATCCGCCAATCTGCGGGCCTTGCCCTCCGCAAGTACATCACAGCCAGATGGTCGCCCTACTTTGACGGCTTTGTCGGGTCCGCCGTCGATGTGAGCGTCAAGCAGCAGATCCGCAGCGCTCTCCTTCCTGGCCTCAGCGATCCGGTACGCAAGATCCGCCTCGCCACGTCCTACGCCATCTCCACCATTGCAGGTCCCGACTATCCGGACGAGTATCCGGACCTCTTGCCTCACATCCAGCAGCTCCTTGCGCATCCAGAACCCAACGGCTTGCATGGAGCCATGACGCTCCTCTCCGAATTCGTCCGCGTCGAGATGGACGAAGTGCAATTGATCCAAGTGGCAAAAGAGATCCTGCCTGCCCTGGAACAGGTCCTTGCGCTCGAGGATGCTCACAGCGCCTATGTCCGAGCGAGGTGCGTGCTCGTCTTCCGCCAGTGCCTCACCACACTCTACATGGTCAAGGAAACCTTCCCGGATGTCGTCAAGCAAGCTTCCAGCACCATTCTTCCACGCTGGCTCTCCATCATGCACTCGATGCTCTCCTACGATGCCGCCGCGCAGCTTGGCGCAGACCTCCAGCAGAACTGGGGCACGCTTGCAGTCCGCAACGAGATCTTCAAGACCCTCAAGGTGGCCGCACTCTTCCGCTCGCAGTTCAAGTCTCATCTGCACGCCTTCATCCAGTCTTCGCTCGCCAACCTCGTCTCGCTCCTTCCGCCCTTTCGTCAGCTCCACCTGTCAAACGCCTCGGACGTCGGCGTGCCTTCGTCGGAAGAAGGTGATGACGACGTGGCCTCCGATGTGCCCTCTCTCGTCTCTTCGATCCTCGACTTCATCAACGACGCCTCTCGCGGCGATCGTTGTCGCGACATTTTCATCAGTGGCGGCACTGGAGGAAACGGCAACGAGACTCCAGCTTTGCAGCAGCTCATCGGCCTCCTCCTCGTATACATCGACATGACCACCGACGACGAGGACAACTGGGCCACCGATGCAAACGCTTTCATCGCAGACGAAGACGACGAGACGCTCGCCTATAGCCTCCGCATCGCCGTCGCCGACCTGCTGGGCATGCTCATCGAGGACTTCCCCGTCCCAACTCTCCGCTCCATCGGCCAACAGGCCCACCAGCTCGTCGACCGTGCCAACGCCGACAGGGCCAATGGAGACCAGGACTGGTGGAAGATTCACGAGGGCGTCTTGACCGCCATCGGCAACAATGCAGATGCCATCATCGACATCGTCGACTCGCAATCCCAAGGCAAGCAGATCCTCGACCTTGAATCCATCTTCACCACCATCGTCCTGCCCAACGTCGGCAACGACGCGCCTCCATTCTTGCAGGGACGCGGCTTCGTCTTTGCTTCTCAATTTGCCACTTCTCTTCCGGCTGAGCTCGCCGTGCAATTTCTGGACGCTGCCGTCAACGCCATCGAATCCGACAGCGCCTCGCTTCCCGTCAAGATCTCGGCGGTGCGAACGGTCAAGAACTTCTATCGACATCTTCCATCAAGCGTCGTCGGCCCTTATGCTCCACGCATCATCCAGAAGCTCGGCCCTCTGCTCACACAGGCCTCAGAGGATACCCTCATCCTCATCATCGAGACCGTCCAAGCAGTCATCGTCGAAGAGACGGATGACGGCGCAGCCAGCACGGCCGCTCTCGTCGAGCCCGCGACCGTCGGCGAGATCGTCAAGGCAGCCCTTCAGGTGTGGGCTCCGAACGCCAAGGACATTATCCTGCTTTCCGTCATTTCGGATCTACTCGAGTCCCTGTCTGGTTCCAAGCAGCCCGGCGTGTCCCAGATCATCGTGCAGCAGAGCCTGCCCTTCCTGGCGGCAGCAATCGGCTCGAGCTTGTCCGATCAGAACACATCGACTGCCGACGACGAGCCTTCGGCGCTCGCCGAGACTGCGATCGAGCTGGTCAAGAGTGTGCTTGATGGCGCACCTCCAGCGGCCCTTCGTGGCGCTGTCAACGTCGTCTGCCCAAACCTGTTCCATGTGCTGTCTGTGAGCCAAGATCGAGATGTCCTCCAAAACGGCATCCAGTGCATGACCGTTCTCGTCAAAAAGTGCACATCCGAGCTTCTGGACTGGAAAGATCCCAATGGACAGACCACGTCGGTGGACGCCATGCTCCAAATCATCGCCAAGCTGCTCGCTCCCTCGGACGACTCGGAAAGCGGTGGCCTGGCCGTGGGCGACCTTGTCGTTGCAATTCTCAGGAAGGCCGGCGATCGAGTCGCCCATGTTCTGCCCGAGCTCGCCAACGCGATGGTTCAGCGCCTCTCCACGGCGCAGACGGCCACTTTCACACAGTCGCTCATCATGCCGATAGCGTACCTGATGCACGAGAGCGACGAGCAGGCCAAGCAGGTCATGGATCTGCTCGAGTCTGTTCAGGTCGCGTCGTCGTCACAGGCTCCCGGCAGCGAAAGCGGCGACGGCCTTGAGGTGCTGTGCAAGAAGTGGGTCGACAATGTCGAGACCTTCCAAGGATTCTGGGCGCAGCGCGTCAGTGCGCTTGCTCTGGCAAAGGTGCTCGACAGCAGACGCCCATTCCTGAACACGATCAACGTGCGAGGCGATATTCTGCCGGACACTTCGGGCATCATCCGCACTCGCTCGCGCGCAAAGACGATGCCGCATCAGTATACCAGCGTGCCGATGTTTGCCAAGATCATCAAGGTGCTCCTGAAGGAATGGAGCTCTGCTTCGCATGCCGGCGGCGGCGGCGCAGGTGGCAGGGGGGATGGCGCACGGACACCCGAAACGGACGATGAGGACGGCGAGTGGGACGACGAGTATGAGCCGCGCGGACAAGGCAACGACGAATTTGCCTTCCTCTCGGACATGCTTGGACCTGGCGGACTGGACGCGCTTCAGAACGACGACGACCTGGCGCTGGAGGACGACGAGGATCTCAAGTCGGATCCTGTCTACAGCATGGACCTTAAGAGCTGGCTCTCGCAGTATCTGCAACATCTGGCTCAGACGGCAGGCCGTTCGTCGTTCGAATCGCACGTGTCGCCGCATCTCAACGCAGAAGAGGCCTCGATGCTCAACTCGATTCTGTCCTGATCTCGCGAATTGAAGACACTCGACGTTTTGCATTTGCCTGACAGCCATGCTCACAGCGCGACCATAAAGCTTCTCGGCAGGCACAGTCTGAAAGCTTTGACTACACGCGAAAAGCTGGTTGCAATGAGCGGTGAGATACGCTTGTTGCTGTGCGTGCGATGCTCAGTCGATGGTGAGCTGAGCATCAACCTGTTCGAACGAGTCGAAAAAGTGCTTGAAGAGCTCGATCTTGTAGGCAACGTCTTTGGTGCCGCACGTCTCGCGGATCGAGTGCATCGAGAGCTGTGGGTTGCCGAGGTCGAGGGTGCGGATGCCGAGCTTGCTGAGCATGGGACCGATGGTGGAGCCGCAGGGCATGTCGTTCTTGACGACAAACGACTGCAGAGGCACCTGTGCGCGCTGGGCGATGCGTCGGATGAGGAAAGCGGTGGGACCGGTGGTGGCATATCGCTGCTTGACGTTGGTCTTAATGACGGGTCCGCCGTTGATCTTGGGGCGGTGGTTCTCCTCGTAGAAGGAGGGGTAGTTGGGGTGGAAGCCGTGCGCCATGTCCGAGGAGAGAAGGAAGGATCGTGCGATGGCCTGCTCGTACAGATTCGAGGCTGCGGGAGCCGAGGAGGCGGAAGACGCGATGGGCAGGGCGACGAGGCGCTGAATGAGACTGGGGAGCATGTTGGATTCGGCGCCGTGGGTGGAGACGGAGCCGACCTCCTCGTTGTCGAAGAGAGCGATGGCGCGGATGGAGGAGGATGCGTTGAGCGACGCGGCGGAGGAAAGCGACTCGATGAGCGCTTCGGTGGCACAGAAGCACGACATCTGGTTGTCGAGGCGGGGCGAGTGAATGAATTCGTTGTTGATGCCGCCGATCGAGGCTGGCTGGGTGTCGTAGAGGCTGAGCTCAAAGTCCTGGATCTGCTCGACCGAGATGCCGAGTTCGGATGCGAGGAGGTCGAGCAGGATCGAGTGGTGCTTTTCGGCCATGACGGGCGAGCCGACTGCCTGCGGGGTGACCTTGGCAGCCTCGGCGGCCTCGTCGGCGCGCTTGTTGAGCTGCTCGGTGGCGAGGCCGAGGATGGGGACGGTGTTGTCCTCGACGTTGAACTTGAAGGCCTCGTTGACGGTGCGGTTGAGGTGTATGGCGAGGGTGGGGATGCGGAGGATGGGGCGCTTGATGTGGACGAGCTTGCCGGTGAAGGCGTCGTGGTTCTTGGAGTCCGAAACGATAACCCTGCCGGCGACGCCGAGGTCGCGGTCGAACCACGAGGCCCAGATGCCGCCGCCGTAGGTCTCTACGCCGCACTGAAGGTAGCCTTCCTTGGCCTTTCGGGAGACGGGCTTGATCTGGAAGTTGGGAGAGTCGGTGTGGGCGCCAACGACGTGGACTCCGTTGCCAGGCTGGTACTTTGCACCGACGGCGAATGCAACGATGGCGGACTGGTTGCGGGTGAAGTAGTACTTGCCGCCCTGCTTGACCTTGTTGTCCCACAGCTCGTTCTCCTTGACTCGGACGAAGCCGGCGGCGTCGAGGAGGGCCGAGGTGGTGGCGACAGCGTGGAAGGGAGTGGGGCTGGCGTCAACGTACTCGAGGAAGCGGCGAGCGGCGGCGATGTCGTCGTCCTTGGCGGCCTTGTCAGCCGAAGCGGCCGGGGCGGAGGTAGATGAAGAGGCCATGGTGGCTACCGAGCGGGAAGCAGTGTTGGTCTGTCCGAACCGAACAGAGGCGGCGGTGACGAGCTTGATGAATGCGTGCGCCGACAGCTTGATGATGGAAAGGACGGATCGAGCAGAACCTGCCTCGATAGTCCAGAAGCAGTGAGTGACGAGGGGCGGAGAATACGCGTGTGTGAGCCGGGAGGGAAGCAAGAAGAGGGGCCAGGGGATGCCGCCGGATAAGCTGCGTTGGGTGAGGATGTCGTGCGGAGAAGATGTGGCGGACGAGCAAATCAGAATCCGACTTGGGGCAGAGGGGGCCAAAGGTGGCCAAAGCATCCAACCAAAGACAGCAGCGCTTCCAACTTCGGAACAGCAGCGTCCGAGCGCCGGTTTGGATGCCGAGCCAAAACTCAACCCACACGCGAAGAAAAGCAGAATCCAACATGTCGAAAGTCGCTTCGAGCCCAGCCAAACGGACGATGCGCATCCCTCAAACAGCAGGCTGACTAGACGAACATTTGATTCGGCCGTGCATACAGCCTGTCCGATAGACGGAAATGGTATCGAGATTGCTATTCCCCGTAGAGCATGATAGAGAAAAGAGCTTCTCCCGGAACGTAGCGTATTTACATCTGCGCCTGTCGCTGCTTGATGGCCGACTCTTCCACGACCGAGGGCATGTACAGAGACGTGTACTTGCGCACCTTGGCGCCGACATTCTGCTCTCGTCGGTCCTTGCCCTCGCGTCGGAACTGGGAGAGGTGGTCGATGTAGTCGGTCAGCTTGGACGTCTGCGAGGGCCAGAAGCTTGGGTGCAGAGACATGATCGGCACGGGCTTCTGATGCGACGATTTCTTGCGCAGAATCATACCCATCTCCTCCATCCTAGTGAAAGCCTGCGATAGTGTGGCCGCATTGATGGACTCGAGGTACGACAGCTCGCCTTGCGCGTAGAGCGTCTTGCCGAGTAGCTGCGTGTGCTTTTCGAAATCCTTGGCTGCAAACCAGGGCAGCTTGCTCTCCGGGTAGCCTTTCTCCTCGGCGCCCTGCGGGATCAGCGAGAGCAGCGACACGGCCGCCAGCCAGTATCCTTCAATGAACGGCCAAATGAGGAAGAGGAAGGAGTCAAAGTTCTCTCGGCCATTCTCGCGCTCCTTGAGGCTGAGCTCGATCGAGCCGCCCTCGTCGCGCTTGATGTCCGGGTGCTTGTCCAGAATTCCGTCGGCGACCATGCCATCGACGGTGCGGTCGACGTTGATCTCGAGCGAGTCAACCCCGAACACAAACTCGTTGCGCAGCACCGAGGAGATGAAGAGACACTCGTTCAGCATGTCCTGTCGCGTCATCCTCTGCATCGGTGCGGTGCCGCCCTGCTTGACCTTCGTGTAGAGCGCCGCAGCTGCGAGCGACTCGGACACAAAGATGTGAATGACCTGATTGCGGTAGAAGCTGAGCTCGAAGCGCTTGACCGGCACAAACGTCGGCTCCATCACATCCCTCTCCTCGGCGATCAGACCCTTCATGACGGTGCTGAGCGCGCGGTCCACCACCTCGCCCGTGTTCATCGCACCAAAGTCGGCCACGGTGAAGCCCTTCTTGACGATGGCTGCTCGGAGCCACTCGACCCTGCGGATGAGCTCACTTCGCGACACGCCGCGTCCTCGCAGGATGAGCACGACCGTGCCGATCAGAGCAGCCGGCATGATCACCGAGACCTTGTTAATGTCGGCGAGAACGCGGTAGCCGAGCGCCTTGAGTAAAAGCATCTTGTGCCTCTCGTTGTTGGCCGGGTCCAGCTCCACCTTTTCGTCCTTGTAGCCAGGCGCGGCTCGGCGATCCTTCTGCTCCTTGATGAAGCCTTGCAGGGACCAGGGTGTATCGAAGCGGATGTCGATGCGGCCCATCTTGAGTTGCAGCAGCGACGAGCTGCCCGAGAGCAGACCGAGAAGAGACTCGGCCTCCTTTGGCTTGCCAAGCAGCTCCGATACGTATGTCTCGGACTCGATGACCGAGTCGTATTGGAGGCTGACGGGACAGATCCACACATCGTCGGTTCGTCCGTTGAGCAGACCCTCGACGACGTACTTGAGAATGCCGAGCTTGGGAGGCAGCAGCTTGCCCGTTCGGGAGCGGGTCCCCTCGATGAAGCACTCGAGATTCTTGCCGCTGGCGAGAAGCGTTTCGACGTACTCTTTGATGACAGCAGGATACAGCTGGTCGCCGGAAAAGGTGCGACGAATGAAGAAGGCGCCTCCCTTGCGAAGGACGTCACCGAGCACGGGCAGGTCGAGATTCTCGCCAGCGATGATGTGCGGAAGGGCGATGCCGAGACGGAACATGAGCCATGAAACGGTGAGGTAGTCGATGTGCGACTTGTGGCAAGGAAGGAAGAGGATGCTCTGCTTGCGTTCTGCGGCATACGCGGCGACCCGGCGGAGTTCGAGCACCTGCGGAACGCTGATGTGGATGCCTTGGTGGTACATTCTGGCGAGAATGTTGTTGACGGTGGCAGCGAAGAACTTGAGGAAAGAGAGCGAGTCGATGCGCGCCACGCTGACCTGGAGGATGGCGAGCGCCTCTTCGCGCAACTGCTGTTCGATCTGGCGGCGCTTTCGCTCCTTGAAGATGGCGAGATTCTTCTGCGTTTTATTGGGACCAGTGGGAGATGCGGGTGACTGGTCTGGCAGGAGGCGATCGACGCGACTCGATGCGAGCTTGCGAATGCGATCTTGCACCTGTTCGCTGTTGAGCACGGCGCGGATGCTCTCCTCGGAGCATCCATTGTAGAGGATGGGTGCGCCGATGTAGTTTGAATAGCCACGCCAGCCGGTCCCCTGACCGTATGCAACGAATTGCTGCAAGAATTCGAAGGGCGACTCGCGAAAGTGTGCCTTGTACGCAGCAACGACGTTGAGATCGCCGAGCTTGTGCTCCTCGTCGGTGAGGATGCCGGCCCTGTCGGCAAGATGTCGGTCCTGACGCCGCGACGAGCCCAAGTCGCCCAGCTGCTTTTTCAACGCCGAGGTCTCGTGGCTCGCCGAAGGAAGTCTGGTCTCAGAGGGCGGAAGAGACCGAGAGCCCGTTTGCGCGTTTGTATTGCGCGTCATCGTGGGGTGATGGAGCCGCTGATGGTGGTCCAACGCGCCGGGTCGAATTCCGTCAAGCGCTCTGTCACCGTCGTGCCGTCCAGTTCCGTGCGAATAGAGTGCTAGCCTCGTGGCTGCTGCAAGCAATGCTGCGCTGAGGAAGAGGCCGACGGTGGTTGATGGAGATGCAGGGACGTAGGTGAAGCGGTGGAAGCTCCAGTGACGCAACTGAAACCCGCCGCCCTAGGAGTGCGTGCTCGTTTCACCCTGGTTCTGCCGCTCGAATTTCGACGTTTCCGACGCTCTTCAAAGCTGCGGGATGCGGGGAAAGCGAGAGTGGATTTTTTCGAACAGTGTTAGGTCAGATTCTCACCTTTTTCGACCCGACGCGCACGGGTCAGCCTTCGGCTTCGCAAGCTCCACATGAGAGGGTCCGAGGAAAACTGCGCCGCCATCGTTCCTCCTCGACAGCGCAAAGCCACGCACATTCACCCCTCATCACGCTGAGTGCACATTCGAGGGCGGCTCTAGCCCATCCAAGGATCTTCACACCAGCTGCTGCACGGCGAGAGCAAGATAGCAACCATGTCGGACGAAGAATTCATCATGGATGATGCGGCGGATGAGGACTACGACTTTGAGTACGAGGAGGACGATGATCTCGAAGATGCCGATGCCGACATCGAAAACATGTACTACAATGCCAAGAGCATCAAGGACCACGACCCCGATGGCGCCATCCGCGAGCTCAAGGCGGTCGTCGATGGCGAAAAGGAAAAGGGCGACTGGGGCTTCAAGGCCCTCAAGCAGCAGACCAAGATCAACTTCCACCGCGGGCGCCACGCCGAGGCCCTCGACTCGTACACACAGCTGCTCTCGTATACCAAGAGCGCCGTCACACGCAACTACTCGGAAAAGTCGATCAACAACATCCTCGACTATGTCTCCAACGCCACCGACGTCGGTCTTGCCGAGATGCAGTCGTTCTACGACGTGACCAAGTCCGCCCTCGAGGATGCCAAGAACGAACGGCTGTCCGTCAAGACTGACCTGAAGCTCGCGCGCATCTGGTTGGCTCGCAAGGAGTGGAATCGACTCGCCAAGTCACTCAAAGAGTTGCGCGCCTACTGCACCAGCCAAGACGGCACCGACGACCAATCCAAGGGCACCATCCTCCTCGAGGTGTTTGCGCTCGAGATTCAGATGTATGGCGAAGTAGGCAACTTCAAGAAGCTCAAAGAGGTGTACAACTCGACGTTGCAGGTCAAGAGTGCCATTCCGCATCCGCGCATCATGGGCGTGATTCGCGAGTGCGGTGGCAAGATGCATATGTCGGAGAAGAACTGGGCGGCGGCGCAAGTCGACTTCTTCCAGGCCTTCCTCAACTACGATGAAGCAGGCAGTACGCAGCGCGTGCAGGTGCTCAAATACCTCGTGCTTGCCCACATGCTCATGGGAAGCGACATCAACCCGTTCGACTCGCAAGAGACGAAGCCGTACAAGAACGATCCGGAGATCGTGGCCATGACCAACCTCGTCTCGGCGTACCAGCGCAGAGAGGTGCACGAGGCCGAAAAGATCCTGCGCGAAAACAAGCGCACGATTCTCGACGATCCCTTCATCAAGGCGTACATTGACGATGTGCTGCGCGGGCTGCGGACACAGTATCTCATCGACACCATGCGGCCGTATTCGCGCATTCAGCTGGGCTACCTGGCGCAGCAGCTCAACATCAGCGTGGACAAGGTGGAAAATCTTCTGATCTCGCTCATTCTGGACGAGAGCATCAAGGCGCGCATCGATCAGGTCGGTCAGTATGTGGAGCTGGATCGCTCGGCAACCAGTTCCAGCAAGCCCCGCTACCAGGCGCTGGACAAGTGGAAGAGCGAGCTGGACCGTGCAGGCGCATCGGTCCATGGCAAGCATGCTGGCGGTGCGGCGAGCGGATCGGGCGCGAGCATCGGCGGATCTTTTCTGCGCATGGGCGTCGGCATGGGCGGTATGGCAGCTAGCCTCGGCCCGTCGCTTCGATAGGTATCCCGCGCGGCGGGCTTGATCATCTGTACTTGTATGACTCTCTGCAATTTGTCTTGATCGTCTTCGCACGCCAAACGTGTAGGCTCACGAGGTCACTGAGGAGCGTCTAATGCGAGGTGTTTCAAAACAGCAGGAGAGCTGGACGTCGCGGCGAGAACCCCGAGCCGAGCGCGCAAAGCACGATCAAAAGGACGTTCCTGGATTCTCACGAACCCGCCAACACGTTGAAGCAGACCGAGGCCTCTCGGCTGCGTTGGGAATCGTCGTAAGGCGGGCAGCAAATGTCAACTGCACGGCATCTGAAGACCGGCAGAGCTAAGCCGTCCAGGCAAGCGTCACGGGTCGAAGGGCGGGCACATGTCTCTTTACGTCATCGACAGCATGAAGCGTCGATGGGCCGCGAGCGGTGCGCGCTCTTGCCAAAAAAATCCGAAACGCTCGAATCAATTCTCCGATGCTGCGCTCTGCTGGGCGGATTTGCTGTCACGGCGAAAAAAGGAAAAAGAACAGAAAAACTCCGATGTGCCGTCATCTCGCCTGTCGCATGAGCCGCCGTTTGGTTGTGCGGCTGACCGTGCTTTAAATAATTCTTAGCCGCCGCGGATACAGACGACGGTGCACAGCGCCATGGCGTGCAAGCGAAGCGAAGCGAAGCGGGGTGGGACAATGACGACCAAGTGTGGGGCTGATCGTGGTGGCTGGGTGCTGCTTGTCTGGACAGCAGCGCAAAGGGACCAACCTTGAGCGGTCGAGTTCAATCCCGTTGGAAGCGGCGGTTGCAAGCGGCTTCGGATGTGAACCCCGCCGCAATCGGCTGCTCGATTCGTTAACCTTCGAGACAAGGGTTCGACTGCGTGAGCTCGTTCGCTCATTCTTGCGGAGGTCCCGCACAAGGCCCCACACAAATCGCATCCTGATTTCGGCATCCCCGGATTGGCTCCGAGGCTTGTTCATATAAATTATATTATAAGCTCACGCCCCTGTCTCCCAAGCTCTCCCCTCGTATCTTCCTCTTGCTCCCCCAGTCCGCAAGACCATGATGGAAGAAAAGAAGGCTCTCGATACCTCTCCCCGGGCCTCGACCACGCCCGGTGGAACGCAGCCCCGCACTCAGACGCAGGCCTCCGACGCCGGCCATGCCCATGCGCACTTTAACGCCGAGAAGCTCGACAAGACGCTCACGCGCATGCGCTCGGACGGCAAGATCGAAATCACCGAAGATGACTGCTACGATGAGCTCGGATACAGCTTCTCGTCGTTCAAGAAGTGGACCATCCTCACCGTCATCTTCCTCGTGCAAGTCTCGATGAACTTCAATACCTCGCTTTACTCGAACGGCATCACCGGCATCTCGGAGGAGTTCAACGTCAGCGCGCAAGCGGCCCGCTGCGGCGCTATGATCTTCCTCGTCATGTATGCTTTCGGCTGCGAGCTGTGGGCCCCCTGGTCGGAGGAACTAGGCCGCAAACCGATCCTTCAGCTCAGTCTGTTCCTCGTCAACATCTGGCAGCTTCCTGTTGCGCTCGCTCCCAACTTTGCCTCGATCATGGTCGGCCGTGCCCTTGGTGGACTATCCTCGGCGGGAGGCTCGGTCACCCTGGGTATGATCGCCGACATGTGGGATTCAGAGAACCAGCAGTACGCCGTTGCCTACGTTGTCTTCTCCTCCGTCGGTGGCTCAGTGCTTGGTCCCGTCGTCGGTGGCTTTGTGGAGGCGAACCTCAACTGGCGATGGACGATCTGGATCCAGCTCATCTTTGGCGGTGCCGTTCAGCTGCTTCACCTCGTTCTTGTACCCGAGACACGATCAACGATCATGATGGACCGCATCGCCAAGAAGTGGCGCAAGTCGGGCAAGAATCCGAACATTTACGGTCCGAACGAGCTGCGCAGCTTCAGGGAGCGTTTCTCGGCCAAGGAGATCCTCGTAACCTGGATCCGACCGTTCCACATGTTCCTGACGGAGCCCATTGTGCTTACGCTTTCGCTGCTGTCTGGCTTCAGCGACGCGCTCATCTTCATCTTCCTGCAGTCGTACTCGCTGGTGTACAAGCAGTGGAACTTCAGCACGGTTGCCATCGGCCTGGCCTTCCTTCCGCTGTTGGTAGGCTACTTTATCGCCTGGGGAATCTACGTCGTTGCCATCGGGCATCAGAAAAAGGTTCGCGCAGCAAGGCCCGGAGACGAGCATGCGCAATTCGAGTCGCGCCTCTGGTGGCTTCTCTTCACCGCCCCGCTCTTGCCAATCGGCCTCATCGGCTTCGCATGGACCTCGGTCGGTCCTCCTGTGCACTGGATGGGCACCATGGTCTTCGCTGCGCTCATCGGCATAGCTAACGCTTCTATCTACGGATCCACAGTTGACTACATGATTGCTGCTTACGGCCCTTATTCGGCGTCTGCGACGGGCGGCAACGGCTGGTCACGAGATTTTCTAGCGGGAGTGCTGACGGTGCCGGCGACACCGTTCTACACCAACATTGGACGCTCCAAGGGACGGAACCTCGAGTATGCCTCGACGATCCTCTTCTGCATCGCCACGGTGCTAGTGGTGGCGGTGTATGTGATCTACTGGAAGGGACCTGTTCTACGAAAGCGATCTCCGTTTGCGCAGCAGCTCAATGCGGAGCGCAAGGGCGCGACCAACGAAGGCGGACAACCAGCGACCACGACCCACAAGCGGCCGGTGACTGGACTCGGCTCGCGTCGCAGCTCGTACCACACTTCGCAGCACGCCACATCGCGCAATGCGTCGCGCAATGCTTCGAGGAACGCCTCACGCAACGTCTCGCGGGCCAACTCGTTCTCCAACGGTAGCAGCAGCGTCGAAGTGCCCGTGAGGACCGCCTAGACGTGTTCGCGCCTCGCTTTCATTTCGCCGTCTCCGACATGGCCGATGTACACATACAATACTACCGACTGCGCCGTGCGTCTTGCATGCATGCAGAAAATGAACTTCGTTTGAGTATCCAGGCCAAGTTACCGAGCAGCAGGGCGGTGCTTGAGTGGCCAGAAGGCGATCGGGCGTCTGTGAGCGGCAAATGCCGGGAGACCGGCAAGATTCGCGGATTTGCAGCAGGGTGAGGCGAGGCCGCCTTTGAAGGCCGAAGCGAGTCTTCGAGCCAGAGAAGCGAACTTCCCGAGTGGCTCGAGCAAACAAGACGCGCTCTGTGCAGGTGCAGGTGCTCGTGCTCTGCAGCGACATGAAAGAGCAGCAGAATCCCCCAAACAAGCTCGCCCGGCAGAAGGGTGCAGGCGTTTTTTGGCGGCCAAACCGCTCGCCAGCACATATTGCCATCTCGCGACATATCGTAAGATGTCCCTCACAGACCAGCACTGACATGGCCATACAGTACTGAAAGCACTTCCATGCAGTCATTCCAGCATCAGGCCTGTGCTCGTGGGCAACGGGCTGGCATCTGGACCTTTGGTGTGCGGACTTTAGCGATGCCACTCCGCCCACTTGGAGAGCAAATGAAACTTTTCGGAATTCCAGCAAGCCTGCGAAAAAAAGGGTTCCTCTGCATGGGCGGCGAGAGGCGAGAGCGAAGGGGAGAGAGCCGAGGTTGAAAATCCGCGCGTTGCGATTCGAGGTTGGGCGGCGCTTTGGCTTTGCGGCTCAGGCTTGCGGCGATCTTTTGAACCGCTCAGCTCGGCAATTCAACTTTGAGCGCAGCAGCAGCAGCAGCAGCAGGCGAGCCGCGCTCAACGGCTGCAGAGCTGCAACAGCGGCGTGGCTGGGTTGGACCCGTGTTGAGCCGCCTCGCAGCAAAATCCACGTTTTCGCGTGTGAGATCCCTGCAAAGAGTGGAGAGCAGCCGCAACCACAGACAGTCACAGCAGGCCGTGGGACCATCACATCCCACCTTGCGCACCGTCACCGTCACTTTCATTTGCAACCGCAACCTATTCCAGCCCAGCTTGCCTCGTCCATCACCCTTGCGCTCCGTCTTACCTTCCTGTCGTCACATTCTGCATCTCTGGCTCTTTCATCGTCCACTCGATCGGCCGCGCTTCTGTCCATCACATCTCGACACGCCTACGCGACGCGCTCACCAACATCCCGCTATCTACGCCACACGCCACACGACCCACGACCCACGCTCCACGCTCCACGACTCACGCATCTGCCTCGCCCCATCACATCTCTCCAACCTGTATCGCGCCTCGTCCAGCGAACGTTAGCTTCAAACCTTGTCGGCTGCTTGCAACATATTTGGCCGCTCGTCGCCACCTTCAACCCGTTCGGCAGTTTCAAAACGCACTACTCAGCCAGCCTCGCAGAACAACGCCCTGTTATTCGATGAACACCACATCTGGTTCCTTGGTGTAGTCACGAACCATTCAGCGCCCGCAGTCGGCTTATTCACATCATCATGTCGTCCGACCAGTCCGCATCTCGGCCAGGCGCATCCTCGTCGTCAGCTCAACCGCTTGGCGACGAGTCTCCACCCTCGCACGTGCAGCCGCCAGATCAGTATGATCCTCAGACATATAGCACACTCTCCTACGCTGCCAAGGGCAAGGCAAGAGCAAGCGACGAAGATCTTGCTGCCTCACTCGACCAAGCAACCCAGCACGTCCAACACGCCTTGGATCAATTGACCATCAGCGCAACTCAGCAGACATCCCAATCGGCCGAGCCCACCCGCCGCCACACCAGAAAGGGTCGTGATGCCACTTCCCGCTCCTCAGCGCCGAGCCCCCTGCGCTCGCCCCCGACCACCTCGCCAACCACCGGCGATGCCTCGCAGTTCGTCTCTCTCCTCGGCCAGCCCGTCGCCGTGTCCGCCTCCCTCTCCGCTTCCGACAAGCCTTCCACCACAACCGCATCCGCCGCATTGCCATCATTATACAAGGCAAGTCGCGGCCGAAGCGCCAACGTCAGCCCAAGTCGAAGGTGGGATCGCAGGGGCGCCAGCGCATCGGTACTCAGCGGCGCCAGCGCAAGCGGCAGTGGCGGCGAAGCCGACGACGCCAGCGAGGAAGAGTCTGTCATCCCGCAGTCGCATCGCAGAGTAGCCCGTCCGCTGCATCGCTCCAGCCCATTGCGCAACAGTCAAGCCATCAACGGCAAATCGTCACGGCATCTCTCTATCGCCAAGGAGGAAGCCCTCTTCCCCTCGGACGAAGACGACTCGCCCCTTCTCTCCTCCACCGAAGACCTCGACACAACCCACGCCAACCGCAATGCACATCGCCGCAGGTCTCGTCGATGGTCCAGCATCGAGCGCGAACGCAGGCGCGGCATGCGCATTCTCCTGCAGCAACGCCCCTCCGATGCTCAAGACTCGACTTCGCCACCCACATCACGCCTCAAATCTTCCTCCCGTGGGCGTACTCGTCAATCTAGCCATCTCAATCGCACGAGCGACGACGACGTATCCGACCTCGAGTCGTCATCCCCTTCCAGCTCTGCAAGCAGCTGCGAGATCAGCTACGTTCACAGCGCTTCGGACACGCCGGCCATCGACATCAAGGAGCGCTCCTCTCGCTCCACCGGCCAGTGCGAGGGCGTCGCCAACGCCTCCACTGACGGTGCCTCAAGTCACGACAACCCTCCCTCTTCCACTGACGGAAGCGATCGTCCCTCGCCCGCCGTGTCGACCCCTTCCACCTCGCTCGTTCAGCGAAGTCCGCCCGGCTTCACCGCTCTCAAGCCACTGGTACCCATCCCCGTCACGTCAGAGTCTGACCCTCTCGGTCACATCGTCCACAGCATCGAGGACATGATCCAAGTAGACAAGGTCGAATTTTTCCCCGAAGAGACCATCGCTGCGCAGCACTCGGCATCTCAGACCAAGCGGAGGACGTCTCCCAAGCACGTCAAGAAGTCATCCTGGATCATCGGCGATTTCGAGAGCGAGCCCGAAGACGACGAGGAGCAAGCTCCAGGGTCTCCGCCACAGAATGCGAGTCCCGTGCGCGGTCAGTCGCTTGTCCGTGCCCACGCCGCTGGCACCTCGCCGCCCTCGCCATCAGCAAGCAGCTACCAGGCGCGCTTGGCCGGCCTCCAGAGCCAGCTTCGCATCTGGTCGCGCGCGCCCGATGAGGCCGCTGCCCCAAGAGTGCGTCAGACGTCTTCTGGCTTCGAGGACATGACCGAGGCAGAGCCCGAGCCTAGTCTGCTATCTGCTAGCTGGCGCAACCTCGCACGCCTGCCCAACCTTATCCTACTGCCCGGCTTAGCCGCCAGGCAAGCTAGGGAGTCGCTTGCCTCCGCAGCCAAGGTCTCGGGTGATGCACTCGCTAGCCCCAGCAATGATCGCCACCTGACCGCCGCAGCGGAGAATGACTTTGCCCAGATCTACCGTCTGGCGAGTGCCGCAAGCGCGTCCGACGAGCAAGGCCTGCAGACGCAACGCAAGGTCGCTCTCAAGACCGGTCGCCCACCCTCGCCGTCGCCGAGCCCATCGCCACCGGCATCCTTGCACGGCTCTCGGCAGAGCAGCAACGACAGCATCTGCACCACCGACAAGGGATCACACACGCACAAGCTCGACTCCGCCAGCCGTCGGGGTCGAGGCGTAGCGTCTTTGCCCGAGGCCGACCGTGATCCGTCGGCGTACGTGTCTGGACTCGGCCAGCCGATCGACCCCGATACAGAGCTCTCATCCGTGGTGCAGCTGCAGACATTCCGCAGCCGCAGTCGCAGCCGACCAGCCGCTGGCGTCGGAGGCCGCGGCCGAGCCACCGATCGACCGCACAAGGATGCTCAGCATCCAGGCGCAGATGGCGACAAACAGGCTGGTGCCACTGGCGCTACCTCGCCGCGAAAGCTCGGGCAGCCGATCGAGCTGCAGCCCGCAGAGGAAGGCAGAGCGACGAACCAAGCATCGCGGCCGCACAAAGCCGAGCGCCCGTTGCGATCTGTCCGAGCCTCGCCTGGAGAGGGACTCACCGTCGATGTTGGCGGTGCGAGCGCAAAAGGCTATGACCGTAACGGCTTGGATCGCCAGGATCCCTTCTCGCACGGCCCTGCCCCGACCGACACGGCATCGGCACCAACGTCGCCAACGTTCCGCAAGGGGTCGTCTTCCTCGGCTTCCAGCGCAGACGAAGCCGATGTCACTCCGCCACGATCGAGAGCCGCCGACAAGGCCGGTGATATGGCCATCGACTCGGATGGATTCCGCGTGGTGCGCCGAAGGCATCGCAGGACGTCTTCTGGCCCGAGGTCGTTGAGGCCCAAGGTGGATGCGCCCGTGCCGCACGGCTTTTCTGCCTTTGACATCAAAGAGGATGACGAGAATGCCGAGGGATCCGACTCGGACGGCGATGTCACGCCGTCGCCGTCCCGCACTCGTTCGGGACGAGGCCGACGCGGACGCGACACCTCCCCGCGCCGAAGCAGTCGGCAGTGCGCGGTGGGTCTGTTTGGCGGCGGTGTTTCTGCGGCAGACTCGGCTTCTTCCCGAGGTTCCTCTTCACGGCCGCGTCGGAACAGCCGTCGGGACGGATCGCTGATCAGCGTGTCGACGCCCATTCGCAGTGTCCGCTCTTCGCCCGATCTAACGTACGCGGCTGCGGCGGCCACGGCGCGAGCCAATGGCGCCGAGGCCGAGTCAGAGCAAGGCGCAGGTGACGATCCCTCGCCGCCGCGAGGTTCGCGAGGTCGACGCGGTGCGGTGAAAGTGGTCGCGTCGTCGATTGGGCAGCAGGGCGCGTCAATGGCGCAACCGCTGCTCATCGGCGGCCTGGACGGTCTGCGCCGCGGCCCATCCTATCCGCCGCGTGCCGATGAGATCCTGGACGAGACTGCCAGTGGCATCGACGGCTCCGACGACGAATCGGCTGCCTCGCAGCACAGCGCGCCGAGCGGACGCGGTCGAAGCGCGTCGAGTCCTGGCTGCGGCGGAGGTGCGGCGCAGGGACTGCGGTTCCGCTTACTGAGCAACTCGTCGCACCTGCTCATGCTCTCGCTCGAGCTCGATATGATCAAAAAGCAGAAGATCTCGGCACCTCTCAAGCCGCGCTGGGGCAAGCACCGCGCCGACGACTTCAACCCGCTGCCCTCGACGATCGCCTGCACGTCTTCCGCAGCGCTGTTTGCTTCGTCCCAGTATCTGCGTGCGCCGTTCTCGGCCACAGAGGGCACCAACTGCGCTGATGAAGAGTGTGGCGGCTCGACATGTGGCGCGCCCGAGAGAATCGCAGTGCCCGGCCGCTCGTCGCGCACGTCGCTGGCTGCCATCCACACGCTCGGAGGCGGACTGCGCGACCCCAGCAGCCGTCTGCGCTTCTCGTGGAGCCTCGCTGACATCGCCGCTGCCCTTGAAGCCGCCCCGAGCGATCACTAAGTTAATCCACATCGCAATCTTGTCTTGGCTACACACACTGCATGCACATTTCATACACATTCGCAATCGCAATCGCAATCGCAACTCCACTTCTGTTTCGCGCACATCCACACCTGCACATGTCTGACAACGAGTGCGATTCCTTGCGCGATTCCCTACGCTATGAAGACTACAAATGCAAAAGATCAGGAGGAAGGGATGGGGATCAAGAATTACTTGTGCATATCCGAAGGGTCTGCGTTGGCCATGAACGCCCAGACGCCTTCGACGCCGAGGTCGTTGGGGTCGTGCTTGATGGTGATCTCAGGCCTGCCTGGGATGCGACCATTCACATCGAGCCTGTCCATGTTGTTGGAGGGCAAGTCGTCCAGATCGCCCGTATCGCTCGGGTTGATCTGCTCCGCGGGCGTATCATCGGCCATGACGGAGCCTTGGAAGACCATCTTGCCCAGCCCCAGGCTGAGCTTGAGCATGTTGACCGCGGGCTGGAAGTCGACCATCTGCGCGTCGCCCGACGTGCCGTTCTTCGCGTTGATATCGCGCAGGATGTTGTCCGTTGCGACATCGGCCATGTTCCACGCCTGGTATCCTGCGTTGAGCGCGCCAAACGCATCGGCAACATCACCAATCGCATAGACGTTGGGCAGCCTGCCAGAGACGTGACCGCCAAGGTGGTGTTCAAGATGCCCCTGTTCGTCGCTGGCCAGCTCGGCACCGTGCGCCTTCTTGTCGAGGAAGCAGTCGCAGTCGCCACACGGCGGCTTGGCGTCGAAGGGCTGCTGTGCCGCGTCGCGCGGGTCGGGCACGGCGACTTGGAGCGTACGGTGCACACGCACGAGCCTGCTGCCCGGATCCACGGAGCTGGGGCTAAGCTTTGCCATGAGCGACGAGTTGGGCTGCTGACCCGTGCAGAGCAGCAGAAGATCGCACTCGAACGACTTGCCGCCCGTGGTGCGGACGAGCTTGCGTCCGCTGCCGATGCACATGCCCTCGGCATGCGCCTGCACGCCCTCGCCCTTTGCGTCGCCAGCGACACACACCTCGGGCTTTTGCGACACAGGTGCAGCAGCAGCCGTGCCCACACTGGCTGCCGAGGCCTGCACCGTCGAGCCTCTTGGGCATCCCTCGGTGAGCGCAAGACGCTCGCCCAGAACAACGTTGACGCCAAGCTGCTTTAGGCGGTGGTAGGCGATGTCGTGAACGCGATCGTCAAAGTTGGGCAGGAGCTGCTTGCGTGAGTGGATGAGGGTCACCTTTTTGCCTGGATGCACGGATGCGATGTCGGTGGCAAACTGGACGCCGAGCGCGCCGCCACCGACGAGGACGATCTCGTCGGAAGCCTTGACGCGCTGCTGGATTTCGCGCATCCAGTGGGTGCCGTCTGCCTTGAAGCGCGCTTCGGTGCGCAGCGGGTCCGGAAGGTGGCTGCCGAGCGCGTAGACGAGATGCGAGTAGGGGATCTGCACGCTGTCGATGGACCAGAGCGACTTCTTTTTGGCGAACTGCGAGAGGTGATGTGCGGAGGAGGAGGCGGTGGGAGTGACGGTGACGTGGGTGGGCGAGATGTCGGTGACAGTAGCCTGGAGCACGATGTGCGGAGCCGAGTTCTCGAAGCCCTGTGCTACGTCGTCGTCGCTTTCGGCATCGTTGGTACCGTCGAGATCGAGGCCATGCTCGACGGCGTCGGTGAGCTCGGTGACCTGAATCTCGGGCCTGCCGAGCTGTTCCTCCTGACGTGCCTTTGCGGCGTTGTTGGAGAGCTCGGATGCGAAGCCCGAAGGGCCTGCGACCTTGATGTCGGTCTCGATGTAGGAGGAGGCGGCGGTGCTTGTGACGTCGTAGGAGGAGCTGTTTGAGTCGGAGTCTGCGGCGCTCGAGTCGGTCGAGACCGAGAATTGGGACGAGTGGCGACTGTCCTGGGAGCGTGCGCGAGAGGAGATGGGCGAGTCTGCGCGAGCCGAGTCGAGGAAGTCGTCGCTTGCGGGCGAGGTGGCGCCGTCGACCTGTGCATTCTCGGGGACGTTGGGCATGGAGCTGGGCGTAGAGGCCAAGCCGGCTGCGGTCTTCCTGGATGGACCTGGCTTGGTCTCGGCCGAGGAGGTGGAGCCCATCTCGAGTGCGTTGCGCGTGTTGTTGTTGGGACGCGAAGTCGATGTGACAGGGGCTGTGTTGTGCTTGGACGAGCTTGGGGTGCTGGAGCGGCCGCGTTTGATATGGGCCTGCGGGCGAGCGGGAGCGTCCTTGAAGATGCTCGAGTAGGGAATGAAGGCCTTGTGTTCGTGACCTGGGAGGACGGAGAAGCGCGGGAAGACGTAGAGATGGTTGAAGTGGGAGTTGCGCTCGATGAGGATGACACGGTGGGAGGGAGGGAGCTTTTGGGCCAGGACGGTGGCTGCGTGCATGCCTCCGTACGAGCCGCCTAGTACGACAACGTTCTGGGTGTGAGATTCGGAGGCATGGCTGGATGGTCCAGAGATGGAAGCGCTGCTAGAGGATGCAGCAGAGTTGAGGGGGGCCGCGACGGCAGCAGCGGGCTTCTTGAGACGGATAGGCTGTGCCATGGTGGAAGCAGCAAGCAGCGAGCGCGGTGCTCGAGTTGTGAAAAGCCGGAGTGCGGACACGGTTGGAAGGTGTTCGCGATTACCAGGGATGGAGAGCCGAGAGACTTGCGCTTAGTGGTGGTCGTGGTGGTGGTGGTGGCGGTAAAGAGTGGAATGCGATCAGCGAGTCGAGGGTAGCATCCGGGATGGGAGGTGGTGGTGGCCAGGGCGGGAAGCGGGAGTCGTTTGTTCCTACCGTTCACAGCGAGGCAGTTGCATGAGCCTTGGCAGCGCCGTTCTTTCTCACGCTCTCCCTCTCTCACTTCCTTACTTGGCCGGGCGATTTGGGTGAGTGAGCATCAGCGCTGTGAATTCGCACTCTGTGCGGCCGGAGCGAATTTGGAAATTGGCCTCTTTCCTCCACCACGGCCGCACCGCCGCGTGCTCTCCGCCTGCCTGGTCTCGGTCCGAGGCGCGCGAACCGAGCCAACAAATCTGATAGGCCCGCCTGCCCGCATCACTCTCGAGTCAGCGATTTTCTTTTTTGGGCGCCAGATCGCTCTGTGTCGTTCGGGTGGCGGTGGCAGCGCAGCCTTCTGCAGGCTCGAGTGAGTTAGGCCCGGCTGTTTCCGTAATCAGATAGCAAAATCTGCATTCCATCGCCGCAGCCTCTTTTTCAGGCCCGACTGGACCCGCCAATCCAAAGCTCCACCGCCCCACCGCTCCACCTCACCCGTTCGTTCGTCGTGATCATGCTGGCGTCCTCAAAACGCAATGTTGCAAGGCCTGCATCGGCCTAGCAGCGTTTATTGATAAGCTTGTGCACCAGCTCGTGCACGCACAGCTCCGACGTCTTCGTGGAAGGTCGGACGGGTCGGCTGGCTGCTTGTCATGCACGCCTTTTCTTCCCATGCCAAGCGCGCCTTGGCAAGCAGGTCTAGCGCATCCGTGCCGACAAGACTCGATCTGATAGGCCGTCGCATCGAGCCCGAGCCCGACCGCGTCGCGTGCCTTCATCTGATAACGCCAGATCGCCCTCATCCACACCTTGGCCCGCATTCGCTCGCTTCCGTTGGGATCGCATCCGCATGTCGATCCTCATGCAGCGCCCTCATTGTGTGGCCTCGCCGTGCGGATGTTCTGATTCGACGCGCACGCGCGGCATGCGCTGCAGCTCTGCCTTTCACATCTTCTCCGACCGTTCCATCCTCGGCCCAATCCAAAAGCACCGGCTCCTTTCCACCTCCCATTTTTATTCGGCCGAAATCTTTGCTGTAGATAAGCTCGGCGTAACACCGTGAGAAATTCAGCGAAAAACGCGGAACTCGGACCAAGGTGCATTCAAGCTCGTGCAGCTTTGGGAAATTTTTTGTGCGGCTTGGGTCAGGGTTTGAGGGCCGAGTCAGGGCGCAAAAAAGTGGCCGCTCAGACGGTTGCTGCTGGTTGGTTTGCGCTATCGGCGGTCCGCTGTGCGAAGGAACATCTGTGCGAAGAACAACTGCTGTTCGCTGTCTCCGCAGAAGCCACCTTTTGCCTCGCTTTGACGTGCTTCACCCGCGCCCACCAGCCAATCTTCGAAGCGCACCCCTCTTCCGAACACTTCTTCGCACACCCGACTCTGTTCGCCATCGGCCTTCTCCGAGAATCCTTCGCCCCCTCCCTACCTCCATCCATCCTCCTCGTGCTCCTCCCCGCACAACCTCCACTTGTCCGTCCCCCGACGTCTCGTTGCCGAGGCGGCGTACCATGCACGACCACTCCCAACCTTTGGCCAAACGTCCCAAGATGGCTTCCACTCCCCTCAACATCCCGCTCGAGTCCATGCTCCCCGCCCCAGCTCCCCTCCGCGTCCTCATCCTCGGCTCCGGCGGTCGCGAACATGCCATCGCAAACCACTTCCTCCGCTCCAACCGCGTAGAGCACGTCTTCTGCGCTCCCGGCAACGGCGGCACCGCCACCCTCGGCCCGCGATGCACCAACATCGACTCGCCCAAGGCCACGGGCGACTTTAGCGAAATCACCGCCTGGGCTGTCCAGAACGGCATCAACCTCTGCTTCCCCGGCCCCGAACAGCCCCTTGTCGATGGCGTCGAACTCGCTTTCCGCAAGGTCGGCATCCCCGTCTTTGGCCCCTCGCCCGTCGCTGCACAGATGGAGGGCTCCAAGACCTTCGCAAAGGCTTTCATGGACAAGTACAACATCCCCACCGCCGCCTTCCAGTCCTTCGACGCTTCCCAGGTCGACGAGTGCCTCGCCTACATCCAGAAGCTCGGCGGCGCACAGCAGGTCGTCCTCAAGGCATCCGGTCTCGCCGCAGGCAAGGGTGTACTCCTCCCCGAGTCCGACCAGGAGGCCCAGGAGGGTGTCCAGGACATCCTTGTCAAGAAGGTCTTTGGCGATGCCGGCTCCTCGCTCCTCATCGAGCAGAGGCTCGTCGGTCCCGAGCTCTCTGTGCTCGCGTTCTGCGATGGCTACACCGTCACCGCACTCCCAGGCTGCCAGGACCACAAGCGCATCGGCGAGGGCGACACCGGCCCCAACACCGGCGGCATGGGCGCCTACACTCCCGCCCCCGAGGGCCTCGTCGACGACCTCCCCGCGCGCATCCGCAACGAGGTGCTCGTGCCTACCATCGACGGCATGCGCAACGAGGGCTTCCCCTTCGTCGGCATGCTCTTTGTCGGCCTCATGCTCACCGCCGACGGTCCCAAGGTGCTCGAATACAACGTGCGCTTCGGCGACCCCGAGACCGAGGCGGTCCTCGAGCTGCTCGACGAGTCCAAGTCGAGCCTCGCCGACATTGTGCTCGCGTGTGTCGAGCGTCGCCTCGACTCGGTCAAGCCCGTGGTGCGCAACCAGCACGCCGTCAGCATCGTGCTCGCCAGCCAGGGCTACCCGGGCAAGTACCCGACGGGCGTACCCATCACCATCGGCGCCGTGCCCCAGAACGTCACCGTCTACCACGCAGGCACCAAGCTTGACGCCAGCGGCCAGCTTGTCACCGCCGGTGGCCGTGTCATTGCCGTGTCGGCGTTCGGCAACACGCTCCAGGAGGCCGTCGAGCTTGCCTACCAGGGTGTGGATGCCGTGCACTTCGAGGGCAAGACCTTCCGCCGCGACATTGCGCACCGCGCGCTCAAGCCCGCCACCTCGAGCTCGGGCGGCCTGACGTACGCCGCTGCGGGTGTGGACATCGATGCGGGCAACGCGCTCGTCGAGGCGATCAAGCCGCTGGCCAAGTCGACGCGCCGTGCCGGCTGCGATGCGTCGCTCGGTGGCTTCGGCGGCACGTTTGACCTTAAGGCAATCGGCATGCGCGACCCCGTGCTCGTCTCGGGCACCGACGGCGTCGGCACCAAGCTGCGCGTCGCACTCGACATGGGCAAGCACGACACCGTCGGCATCGACCTCGTCGCCATGTCCGTCAACGACCTGCTCGTCCAGGGCGCCGCGCCGCTCTACTTCCTCGACTACTTTGCGTGCTCCAAGCTCAGCGTGCCCGTCGCCTCGGCCGTCATCTCGGGCATCGCCGAGGGCTGTCGCCAGGCCAAGTGTGGTCTCATCGGTGGTGAGACCGCCGAGATGCCAGGCATGTACATTGGCGACGACTACGATCTCGCCGGATTTGCCGTGGGTGCCGTGGAGCGCGAGGCACTGCTGCCCGTGCTCGACCAGCTCAAGGCGGGCGATGTGCTGATTGGTCTGCACAGCTCTGGCGTGCACTCGAACGGATTCTCGCTCGTCCGCAAGATTGTCGCCCGCTCGGGTCTCGAGCTTTCCGCGCCCTGCCCCTGGTCGGCGGAGAAGGACGGCTCCAAGCCAGCGGCTACGCTGGGCGAGGCGCTGATTGCACCCACGCGCATCTACGTCGAGGCGCTCACGCCGCTGTTTGCCGAGGCCAAGGGTCTGTTGGCTCTGTCGCACATCACCGGCGGTGGATTCACGGAGAACATTCCGCGCATCCTCGCGCCCGGCGTGGGTGTCGAGATCGACCTGGCATCGTGGCAGCGTCCCGCACTCTTCGACTGGCTCCAAGCCACGGGCAATGTCGAGCCCGAAGAGATGGCCAGGACGTTCAACAACGGTATCGGCATGGTGCTCATCGTCCAGCAGCAGGAGCAGCAGAGGATCCTTGACCTGCTCAGCCAGGCAGGCGAGCGCCCCGTCGTCATGGGCACCGTCGTCGACCGCGAAGGCGTCCACTACACAAACATGAACGCCTGGTCGGCTTGAGCGTTCCTCCTCCGCCCCCTTCTTCCCGTCCGTGGTGCCAAATGTAAATTGAAATACGAATCGAAAGTAGATACCTCCCAACCCACTGCGTTTTCTGGCTCTCAAGACAAAGCGGACAAATACGATTTGCTACAACTGATCAGGCCAGGACGTCGCGGAGGTCGAGTTTGATGCCTGGACCCTGGGTGGAGCTGAGGTGGACCTGCTTGATGATGTTGGCGGCCTTTTTGAGTTCGCCTGGCGACCTCGAGTCGCGCTGCGTGTATTCCTTTGCCTGACCTGCACCCTGTGCCGCCTGCTGCGAGCCGAGCGTGGGCACCTTTTGGATGATGGCATCCAGCAGCGTCGTCACGTTCTTCCTCAGGTCGTCCTTTTCAAAGTTGAGACGGCCTACCGCACCGCGGATGACGCCGACCTTGTCGGATCGCCAGTCCATGGCGCCCTTGGATTCGCGGATGGCATCGAGGATCGACTTTCTGCTGTCCGACGGCACAACGGTGCCACGTCGAGGGTTGGGCATGAGACCCTTGGGACCCAACGACCTTGCGAGACCCTTGGAGACCTCGGGGAGCAGCGTGTTAGTGCACAGCACTTTGGTGAAGCCGCTGACGCGGTTGTTGAGCACCTGCGAAATGAGTTCGGAGCCGCCCAAGATGATCGGTGGCTCGGCCGTGGATGTGGACGACGAGGCGGCCTCCTTGTCCATGACCTCCTTGACGGCCTCGGCGGCCTCGGATCCTTCTTCGGCAAAGACGAGCAGACGCTCCTGCTTTGTCCTTGGATCCCTTGGATATGCGATGCGGCCTCGGAGAGCGTTGGTCTGATGCGAGGATACCGAGGTGACGATGTGCACCTCGAAAGCGTTGAGCGGACGCGATGCGGCGCCGTGCGCCTTGAGCTGCTCGCACGCCTGCTCGAGCGTGAGCAGCGTCTCGCCCTCGGCAGCATCGAGGTTGCTCGTCGCCTTCTTGCTCGCCTTGGCACCGGCAGATGCCGCCGATACTCCTCCCTGCCTCGCCGAAAGACGGGTGGAGAGCTCTGCGAAAAGCGCCTGGTTGCGCGGCGACTTGCGCGTGGCTCCGCGGGCGCGGTTTGACTTTTTCAGCGTGACGACCGAAGTGCTGAAGGTGCGCACCGACGACGAGGATGCGAGCGGCAGCGCGCGAGCCGCGAGCCCGACGGAGGAGCCGAGCGTTGGGAACGACATGCTGAGATCGGTTAGGAGAGGGTGATGAGGTGAATGCTGGGCAAGCAGAAGGCGATGTGAGCCTTTGCCCTCACTTGAGCTGAGGCAGTCGGGTGAGCCGATTGGAAGAAATTGGGAGAGGAAAAGCGTTCCGACGCTGCTTATATAATCATGCTAACATTTCCGAATTAAAAAGATGGGAACGTCGATGGTCACGTGTGCCGTTCGCGTGGATCTTTGGGAGCGGCCAATTCGGCGGAGAGAGCTTGGAGGAGCGGTGTTGCTTTCGAGCTTTCACAGCGGCCATATTTCGGAGTGATAACGACAACTCCACCTTTGCCGTGCCAAACGGTGCTGAGTCGCTGTCTTCCGCATAACCACCACCTTAAACGTCTCGTCTCTCGCTACTGCTGTCCTTGCTCCTGTATCCTGACCGGGTGACGCCTCGCCATGCCGGCTCTGTCAGGAAGCACTAAGAAAGTCTCGGTCTACGGCCGCAAGGCTGAGGTGCGAGTCGTCAACCGTCACAGCACCTTCACCTCGCTCGAAACCGACGAAAACGACCCTTTCGGCTTTTTCAAGGCGCAACCTAAGCCAAAATCAACGTATGGACGTTCAAGAGCGTCGCTTTTCCCGGCCAACATCCTGGAAGACAGCCCGGCGAAAGATGCAGCCAGCAGCGACGACAGCCTCGATGGTGCTGCAAGCATGGACAAGAGCGCACAGTACGACACGGCCAACTCCAACCTCTCATTCCACTCGGCTCGAAGCGACTCGTTCGCCTCACCTCCTGCGAAGGAGAGCAAAGCATCCAGACCTACCGTCCTTACTACCACCTCGCTCAACATCGCATCGCCGCAAAAAGCGTCGAAGAAAAAGTCAACAAGCAGATCCAACAAGGCGGCTGCAGCTCGATCCGAGCCAGTCGAGACCGTCATCAGCACCCCAAAAGCACGCGCTGCACCTGCCAAGAGAGTTGCCCATGAGTCACCCGCGACATTACGAGCCCTCACCCAGCCGACAGGCAAATCATCCCACGCTTTGCCGACTGAATCGACCCCGCCGTCCATCCTTTCCAATGGCCGCGCACCACGACGTGCAGCTCAAGCAGCACGTGTCGCCATCGAGGACTACGACTTCACCGATCGAGACATGACGCCTCGTCGGCCCGTCCCCACAAAGTCTTACTTTGCAGAAAAAGCGCGCCAACTCGCCGAACTTGCCTCCGATCAACAGCAGGAAAAGCAGCGCGTCAAGGATGCATCGAGCGCCAAAGCCAAGTCGCGCAAGTCGATGGCTGCGCGGCCAAGGTACACCACAGTCTCGCGAGTAGCTCTACCATCGAGTACCGCCGACTCGGCATCGTCCGATGCGAGCTCCACTCAGACTAGCTTCAGCCTCGTCATTCCTAGGATTGACGAAATGCCCGAGCAGGAGCTCAGCACAACTCTGCTTACCAAGGCCAAGGCCAAACGCAAGCAGAACAAACACGTCACCCGACGAATTGCCGACTTGAGCGACGACGAGGCGGAAGCATGCGCCGCAGGATCCGATGACGATGATGAAGCCGACGTTGCCGCAAGCCTTGTCGCACAGATTTCGGGTCTGACCGTAACGGATCAGCAGGGCGCCTCCGAACAAGATGCTTACCTGCGCGCGCTTCTTGCTGCCGTCTCGCAGACTGCGCCCGAGCCCTTCGCCAAAACAATCCAGCAGCTACGATCCACGCCTTCGGCCAAGGGCAGACGGCGCCTGGAAAAGATCGGCGAGGCGAGCTACAGCGAAGTGTTCAAGATCTTCCCTGCGGCGCGCTCGGCCACGACGGACAGCGGAGCACACGAAGCGCTGGTGATCAAGATCATCCCGATTGCCAATCCAGCCTCGGCGGGAGGCGCAAGCGACGACGAGCTGCCGTACATGTCGGCTGCAGCGGATGTGGAGCGCGAGGTTCGCCTCATGCAGTTGATTGGCCGTGAAGCCGCGAGCGCGGGCGCATTTGTCTCGCTGCAGGCCGCGCATGTGGTCAAGGGGAGCTACCCGGCGCCGTTGCTGCAGGCGTGGGATCGATGGGATGCCAAGCGCCGTGCCAAGACGGGAGAGGGTGCAGAGAACATCCGACCCGACGCTCTGGGTGGCTCGCACGCTTACGCCGTCCTCGTCATGACCGACGGCGGCGTCGACCTCGAAAGCCTGCGCGTCCAGAGCTGGCTCCAGGCCGCCTCGATCTTTTGGCAGGTTTCGGCAGGCTTGGCCGAGATGGAAGCAAGGTACGAGTTCGAGCACCGAGATCTGCACTGGGGCAACATCCTTGTGCAGAACGCATCGACCAGCGATGCCCCCGCCACCACCAGCGCGTCCGAATGGCTGTTGAATCCGCACACCTCGGGAGTGAAAGCGACCATTATCGATTTCACTCTTTCGCGCGCCACCACCGCTGCAAGCAAAGCCCGCACGAGCAAAGCCGAAGTGCTCTTCCATCCCTTTGACGACGAGACGCTTTTCGAGGGCTCGGGCGATACGCAATTCGACGTGTACCGCGAGATGAGTCTTGCTACGTTCGGGCAGTGGCACACGCACTGCCCCGCCACCAACATGCTCTGGCTGCGCTATCTTGCGCACAAGCTCGTCGACGTCAAGTGCAAGTCGTGCAAGATCCTCGCGCAACCCGATGACGAGAACGGAGCCGCGATGCGCGAGTGGCGGGCGCATCAGATTCTCGTCAACGCAACGGAGCAACTGGATCGAGCGGCACAAGACATGCTGGCCAGCCATGAGGCTCCGCGTACAACGGGGCGCAGAAAGTCGCTCCACCCCCGCGCCACCGCGGCTGCACCACGCAAGGGCAGGGCAACCACACGTGTCATCCCGCTCACCAAAGAGACGAACGAGACAACACCGATCGTGCGCTCAGCAACACAGCTCATGCTCGCGCTCGCACTGTGACACATAGATACCCCATCAATCTGCTCAGGACGAGCACAGCAATGGATGTCCATGGATACCCCGTGTCGGTGAATGGAAGTGACTGTGTGATATGAGGGGGGAAAGGAAGCATTTTTTCACGCATTTTAGTGGCGCATTTTTAGAGGCTCGGTTTTTGAGTTTGTGTGGAATTGGCCCAAACGCGCCTCGGCAAACTGGCTTTCTCCAAGTAGCCGGTTCCGGTGTGGACGCTACGTTCTCGTCCACCACCATCTCGATCTCACCCCTTGTCAGCGCGCGAGTGCAGACTGTGTCCAAGATGACGGATTCAAGCGGTGCGTGGCCGCACGTGACAACATACCAGACACGCTGGCTGGACAACGATCAGTGAGTCGACCTCCTCCCTCGCATGTTCCTTGCGACTTCGACTCACCGCGGTTGCGTTTGTACAGATATGGCCACCTCAACAACTCGGCGTACTACCTCGTGGCGGACTCGGTGATCAATGCGTTTCTCATCGAAAAGTGCGGTATCCAACCGTTCATCCATCCCACCGATCCTGCGCCGGCGTCGGCGTCGAGCACGGACGAGAAGCAGTCGCGCGACGTGGTCGGGCTGGTGATCAGCAACTCGTGCCGCTACTTTGCATCCTGCTCGTTCCCGGCGCCGCTACGTGTCGGACTGCGCGTGGTCAAGCTGGGAACGAGCTCGGTGACGTACCAGGTCTCGATTAGCGAGCATGGCCAGCACGGCCAGCACGGCGAGCAAGGCGAGCAAGGCGCCCAGCAGGCGGCGGCGCTCATCACATCCACGCACGTGTTTGTCGATAGGATAACGAGGCGGCCGGCAACGATGCCCAAGCAGCTCAGAGCACCGCTCGAGGGCCTGCTGGTCAAGATTGCCGAGGAAGAAAAGGCAAAGCTGTAGCATAGGCAACCACGCCGAATCACACGCATCCCGCGGGGCCGATGAGCGAGAAGGAGTTGCATTCATAAACCGGGCGGGGGGAAACGAGAACTACAGATTCTGGCTCTGGATCCAGGTGACGATCTCTCGCGCCACCTCGGGCTGGCTGTAGTGCGCAGTAATGCCATGGCCCGTCTTCTCGGCGATGTACGAGGTAAAGTTGCTCGCGGCCGGGTAGAGCATCTTGACGCCGGAGGGGATGTCGGTGCCGTTGGGACCGGCCCAGCAGTTGCTCGAGCAGAAGATAAAGTCGTTGGCGCCATTGACGACCTGAACGGGGCCAGTGAAGTTCTGCGCCACACCGCCTACGTCGCCGACGGTGAAGAGCGATCCGAGCGTCACGGGTTGTTCCGTGGCGCGCGCGAGGTCGAACGCCTCGGGCGCGTAGTGAGGCGGGAAGAAGAAGCCCGTAATGTCGCTCGCGTTGCTTCCGGTCACCAGCCAGGTATCGGGCTTGTCGCCGAGACGATCTGGGAAGATGCGGTTGGCGATCGAGTAGGAGCCCGCGGTGAGGTAGCCGCCAAGGTTGCTACTATTGGTGGTGAATCCAGTCAAGACTGCTGCATCTAGCAGCTCCGGCGACTGCGCGGTGACAGCTTGCGTCTGGACCGAGCCGTACGAATGGCCCACGCCTACGATTTTGTTGTGCTGCTTGCCACCCACTGTAGTCGAGTTGCGCAGCTGGCCCAGGACGCCCTGGAGGATGGCGACTTCGGTCTGAGCACGCGCGACTTCAAACCCACCCTTTGGCGTCTCGCTCTTGCCCGTTCCGATCCGGTCGTACCTAAACGTCGCGTAGCCATAACTCGCCGCCACCTTGACCACGCTATACTCGGGGCTGAGCGCAAAGTCCCAGTAGCTCGAATCGAAGCCGATTCCATGCACGAGGTTGATCAGCACATCATTGTCGCCGCCCTGGCGAGGCTTGCAGTACGTGCCCGCGATGGAGAAGGTGCGATTGAGCGTGTGAGTGGCGTTGGAGACGTGCTCGCTCGTCCAGTTGGCCTGGGCTTGGGTGAACTCGATCACCTGCTGCGTAATGTACGATTGGTTCGAGTAGGTGTTGTCGACACCCGTAAAGTTGGTCAGCGTCGTGTTGACGGGGATCGAGAGCGTGATGTTCGAACAGTCGGCATTGGAGAGTCCATATGGGCCGGCAGTCGAGTTGGACGAGCCATCATTCTGGCGAGCGTCCAGCCGGATAGAAGCACCCAGCACCAAGCCGAGCAGCGGAAGCACAGAGAAGACCTTGCCTGCTACCATGTTTGCCAGTGTTTTCAATGGGTTTGACATCCTTGATCCGCAATGGAGGCGTGTATATATGCAGAGTGCTCTGACCCCCGCCTCCCCTAATGCAGAGGCGGGGATCCACGGCCGACGAAGCGTCATACTCACCGTGGCTCACTCGTCCACTCCCACGCTAGTGGAGCTTACATTCCGAAGCCCGTCGCGGGTGCGACAGCTAATCGCCGGACTCCGATGCACTGCGCACAAGTCGACGCACACGCCGACAGCTTCATAAACGCCGTCTTTAGCGCCCCTCTGCTGATCTCATCCGCACAAACCCTTCGAAAAGTGCACTCTACGCGCGCGCCCTCCACCCCGCCTTTCGCCGATGACGTCCCAGCCGCCGAAGAAAAAAAAAGTCTCACCGTGCCCACCAAGTCGATCCGGCCTCGCTTAGCCTCGCGCATCCGAGCGGTCCATCAGCCGCACGATGGCGCCATTTGCTCTGCTCACTCTCACCGTTCCGAGACCACACAAAGCATCGAAAGCGCTAGTTGGAAAAAGCTAATTCGTTGCAAATGAGCAAGGCATAAACAAATCCGGACGTAGGCTACGCGGCATGGTTTAGGCTTCACCGACGATCTGCTCGACTTCATTGCCGTCACCGGGCGCTTCGCGAGTCGATGCGGCGCGGGGTCGAGTGGAGCGCGTGCTCTTGCGCGAGCCGATCGACGGTGGTCCGCCCGACCTGCCGGCTCCCGCTGCCCCACCAGCTGCTGCGTCTGTATCACCATCGGCTTCAGCACCCGCACCGGCACCCGCACCCGCGCCTGTCCCACCCGCGGAGACTGCCGGGGGAGCTGGGGTAGAGACCGAATTCTTGCGCGCCGAGTTGCGGCGCTTCCTGCCAGCGCCTCTGCTGCCGGGTTTCTTGCCGAGCCGGCGGCGGATGACCTGCTCGTTGCCGTCGTCGTCCACCTCGACAACCTCTTCGTACTCGTAGCCGTCGTCGTCGTCTGCGTCGTCCTCTGCATCGCTGCGTCCGCCCTTCCTGCCCGAGATGGGCGCTGTGCCCTCGCGCTTCTTGATGACACCCTCGGGCACCGCGAGCGAGGCGATATCCTGAATATCCGCCTTGATCTCGGGCGGCGGACCCGAGAGATCGACGCCGATCGCCGCTGCGTACGCCTCGAGATTGACAGGGATGGAATTGCGCAGCGCCTCGTCCACCAGCTTGCCGTTGCTGCGCTCCTCGACGTTGAACTTTTTCTTGACCATGACGCGGTCGCGGCCGGGGAAGAGACGTGCGATCATCTCAAAGTCGGTGCCCCACTGCTGTAGCGCGCGGTAGAATTTGGCTGTCTCGTCGGCCGTCCACTTGCGGTTGCGGCCGAGCTTACGCGAGTACGTGGCGGCATTGACAAAGCGGTCGCCTTCGCGCTCGTCGACCACCTCCATGTTGTCGCGGTCCTCTTCGTTGCCAAAGTTGGCAAAGAGCGAAGTCTCGTCGAGCACGATCTTGCCGTCCACGATACGCGTCTGCACCGCGAATCGGTTCTCGCGAAACGACACGTCGGTCGCCGCCACCGACGCCTCCCTCTTGCGCCGCGCGCGTGCCGAGGCAGCGTCGTCGGAATCGTCGTCCGAGTCGGCGTCTTCATCTTCGTCTTCTTCGGTTCGGTCACCGACGACCTCCTCCTCCTCGCCCTCGAGCACCTCTTCAGTTGCGTCGACGGGAGCGCCGTTCGTCGCACGTAGGACGCGACTGGGGGGAGCAGGCGAGGGCGAGGCGGCGTCGAGTTTGTCGCCGAGCACGTGTCCGCCCAGCAGAGCCGAGCGTGCAGCCGCTCTTCTCTCTGTGACGAGACGATTGTAGACGCGCTCTGCTTCGAACGTCCTGGGGCCTGCACGACCCTTTTTGTAGTCTGCGGTACTGATGTCGGCCATCATGACGTCGCTAGGGTCAATGCGGCTGGCGGCGAGCTGTGGACCCTCTTGATACAATTGCTTGCGATATTCCTCCTCGTCGTCGGACACGGTGTGTGGCTGGCGCGCGGCTGTAACGCGGCGCTTCTTGCGACGGATGGGCACGCCGTTGTCGTCGAGCTCGGACGTGGTCTCCATGTCGCTCTCGTCCTCGGGGCCGAGTTGCACGCCTTCTGGATGCGCCTGCTTCCACGCCTCGAGCTCCGCGTCGTATCTCTGCCGGAGCGATGCAGCTTCGGTCTCCCATCTGCCGCGCAGTTCGGGTTGAAGCTCGCGCCATTCGGCCGCGATAGCACTCGTGAGTCTTGTGAGCGACAATTGAGGGTTCTGCGACTGGCGGTCTGCGCGCACTGAGTTGACGTAGAGGAGATAGGCCGAGAGCGGACGGCTGGGCTTGCCCGAGGCGCGCTCCTTGCGCTTGAGCCTGCGCTTCTGCAGCCGGTCTGCGGCGGTGCGTCGGCGCGCAGCAGCACGCTCAGCCTTGTCCTGCGCGTCGTTCTCCGACGAAGCAGCCCGATCGACGGGAGTGCTGGAACTGTCGACGATCTCTCGCGCTTTGCCTTTAGCGTTGGCCGAGAGGGCGGCTGGTTCCGAAGTCTGTTGTGTATTGTCAGCCTGGGATGCGCTCTCTTTGAGCGGTGCCTTTGGAGGTGCCGAACTGGCGGTGGAAGATCTTGCGCCGGTGGGGGGCAACGGAGCTTGGATGGGGTCGGGCTGTGAGGCCTTGTCCAGCGTGATTCGGTCGCTATCTGACTGAGCCGGTGCGCCGTCGCGGCTTGCACCTGCGTGAATGGCGCTGACGTTGTCACGTCGCGAGGTGCGAGAGCCTCCGATGCTGGGCGGTGCGTTGGAACGCGCGGACAGTGTGGATGCTTGGGCTGCTTCCGCTGCAGCCTCCTCGTCGATGGTGGGCGCTGCGCGGTCCGACTGCGGGGCCACTTTGGTGGAGGAAGAGGGCAGAGAGGATGGTGGAGCTGGAGTGAGCGAGGTGCGCGATCCCGGACGCGGCTTGGACACGGAAGGTCTGCGAAAGACGGGTTTGACGCCTGTGCCGGCGGCTGTGCTGGTGGATGGCTGTCCTGCGGTGATGCTGGTGCGCGTGGCAGGAGAGCTTTGCGTCTTTGCAATGACCGACGACGGCGCCGTGAATGCGTAGCTTTGCGACTTTTGGGTTGTGCCGAGCCTAGATGGACCACTGGCGGCATCTGGCTGGGACGGGGTGACGGGCACACTGCGTCGTGGGGTGATGAGTTGGGCCTTGCGAGCTGGCGCGGCGGATGAAGAGGGCGGAGTGGCAGCAGCCGATGTCGACTTGGACTGCTGTTGAGAGCCAGAAGGCGAGGGCGCTGTGGAAGAGGCGGGTGTGGCGGCGCCGTTGGCGGTTGGAGTGGCGGCGGCGGATCTTCTGGGCACGATGGAGGGTTTGAAGCGCGCTCCTCCCTTTTCGATGCGTGACGACATGCTGGGCCACGGTCACCACCTGGTGGGCCCTTTGTTGGGAGGAAAGGATTGGGAGTCGTATCGACAAGGTCTGGTGCAGAAACGACAGTCTGTTGGGATGGATGGAGGGAGGAGCGGAAGCAGGCCGAGGCCGGGCGGTGGATGGCAAAAAGTGCCATCTTGGCGAGGCGCGTCGGCCAAAATGCGAAAGCGTGATTTCAGGGTTTGGTGGGCTTGGGAGAGAGAGAGCTGCTGCGTGCTGCTGCGGGTCGAATGCACGCCGAAGTGGCGGCACTTTTCCAGCGCTTCGCATCGCCCGAATTCCGACGCTCGAGAGAAGTCGCAGTCGCCTCTTCGGCTTCCCCGAACACCCATCGACCTTTGCCCATCTCTTGATCACATCTCTCTCGATTCGGCACAGAGCCATGTCAAATCCAGCTGGCGCTGCGTCCATTCCACCGCCAGGCATGGTCGGCCTTCCACCACCGCCGCCCTCGTTTGGCGCGCCCATGGACCAAAGCAACGCAGAAGAGGTGCCGCCGCTGCCAGCCGATGCGGGCAAGACGCTCTACATCCAGAACCTCAACGAAAAGGTCAAGCTCGAGACGATGAAGGCGACGCTGGCCAACCTCTTCTCCAACTACGCCAACGTGCTCTCGGTCACCTCGCATACCAACGTGCGCATGCGTGGCCAGGCGTTTGTTGCGCTCGACAGCGTCGAGGCTGCCGACAAGGCACGTCGCGAGGCGCATCTCTTCCCGCTGTACGGCAAGGCGATGAAGATCAGCTTTGCCAAGTCCAAGTCGGATGCGGTGGTGGCGCAAGAGACGGCCGAAAGCGGCGGCAAGGAATCGGACGACTTCCAAAAACACAAGCAGCAGAGGCTCGAGCACAAGAAGATGGCACGCAGAGGCAACGTACTTCGAAGGAGAGAGCTCGAGAAGAAGATCCGCGCAAAGAGGGCCGCAGCAGGAGAGATCGCAGAGCCAGAAAAGGCGTCCGGCGCAGCTGCCAAGCGTGCGCAGCACGACATGCCCGACGAGTACCTGCCACCCAACAAGATGCTCTTCCTCCAAAAGATCCCCGATGGCGTCGGCAAGGGCGAGCTCGAGAGTCTCTTTTCAGCGTACGTCTCTATCCACCCCACGACTCGATTGCGCTTCGTTGACGCTAACCCTCACATTTGCTTTTGCTCTGCAGATACTCTGGCTACGTGGATGTGCAAACCATCCCTGGCAAGGCCGACATTGCCTTCGTCGAGTTTTCCGACATTCCCTCGAGCGTCACAGCGCGCGGCGCCCTCAATGGCTACAACTTTGGCGCCGGCGACAAACTCAAGGTGCGTCGTGCGGAACCTGTGCTTCGGCTTCATTGCTCGTTACTGACTCTTTTCTTATTTTTGCGCTCAGATCACCTTTGCAAGAGCATAGACTCGAGCAGCATCCTCAGCTTCTTGGCCACATGTCCGATCCGCATTTGCACGGCGCGGATCCGTGTATACTAGCCATGTCTCGTGTAGTGATAATCATCATCCAAAGCGCAAACGCAGCCTGCCGCGCATGTTCGAGTGTACGGATATGGTCGAGTGTCGAAATCCTCGGAAGCCGGAATTTGAGATGTGCAGCGGCGCGCTGCTGCAGCGTGGGTGAATACGCGACTCGGCATGCTTTCCGTCCAACACTACAACTCCTCTCACCTGCTTCTCTTCGCTAGTAGCCGCATTGACATGTCGAGATTCGGAGGCCGATTCGTGCCCAACATCGAGCACGAGGTGCGCAGGCAGGCGACCGAGCCCGTTGCGTAAGTTCTCCCTCGCCGAGGTCTCCCAAATTTGACGACAGTGCTGACGGGTATGATGCTTTGGGTGCGTTGCGTGTGGCAGCAAATGGCGACAAGAGTGGGTGGTCCCCTCGGGCACATCGGATGCATCTTCATCGACTGCTGTGGGCGTCAAGATTCTCAAGTGGGTTCGCGCCGATGCGTTTGCTACCTTTCCCGAGGAGCAAGACGTGCAGGCTGAAGACCGGATTTCGGACGATGCGGCGATTGTCGAGGCGCCCGTACAGAGCATCCACAACGCGCCTGCCGTGCCGACACCCGCTGCAAGTCTGAGCGTCAGTGGCGGACTCGGTACGATAGCGCCCAAAGAGCCGGCACCGGCTGTTGCATCGGCCATTCCGCCGCATATGGCGCAGGTCTCGGAGCCTACGTCTGGCGCCAACACGACGCGAGGTAGCACGCCTACCGACTCGGTCGCCACGCCTGCGGCCGGAGAGGACAGCACACCGGCACCAGCAACTACGGCATCGACGGCACCAGAGGCAATCAGCCAGGCACCATCGTCACAGGGCGAGGGGACCGCAATGGGAACGGGTGCCAGTACGCCGCAGCTCCAGCCCCAGGTGGAGGCGCAGCTGCACACCCAGCCCACCACCGCGCCTACCACCGACACGGCCACACTCGCCGTGCTTGCGGCTGCTGGCGGTGCAGAACACGCCGAGATGCAGCAACAAGACGCAGCGCCCACGACCGAGGCGTCATCATCCACCGATGTGGATATGAACCAAGCCTAGACGCCACACGTGTCCATCTGTATTCTATTTCCGCGCCTCATCCATGCTGCTATCGATCGTTACAAACGTCGCAAGTGCTGTAGCGTGTAAACTGACCACCTTTCGCCGCGTCCAGCCAGGGTGCGGATGCACGCCGTTGACGCACTCGAACGGCGGCTTGATCTGGCTGAAGCTGCGCTCGAAGCGAGGCTTGCGCGGCACTCCGCCCAGCCCCGCGCGGTCAAGGCCGAGCGCGCCGTCTTGGTTGCAACCCGCCACGAGCAGTGCGCCATCGGTGCTGACGGCAAGGGTGCGTCCCTCGGCGGCGGCAACGCTCGCGATGCAGACATCGTGGCCATTGAGATCGGGCATATCGAGCGGCGTTGGATCGGCGAGCATGTTGTGGTGCCATGCCGGCACTTCGGTCGACGAGCACGGCGCCACGGGCATGAGGTTCGCATGCTCGTTCCAGCCCCAGCCATATACATCGCCGTGTTCACTCAGAACGAGCGAATGTCGACCTCCTGCCGCAACGACGCCGATTCGACAGAGAAACCCCTCGGCGCGCGAAAACGTCGGCAGGGCCTGCAATAACCGCCCGTTAGTGACGGCGGCGGAAGGTGGGATGTCGAGCTGCGCGGGAATCGCCCCTACTAGAGCGGTGTCGGTATCGAAGTGCATTGGGACAGCGCCAAACCGCGCATCGCCATACACCCAGACTGGCGCCTCGGTGCGGACAGCCTGGTCGGCCAGAAGCACAAAGTGCGCATTCCCCGCCGCGACTGCCACGAACCTCGGCAAGCCCAAATCCGCCAGCGCTGGTTTGCCTTGGTTGTACGTGTACGCTACGAAGCGGGAAGATCGGCGAAGCACGATTGCTTCCCGTGAAGCCTCGGTTGCATGGCGGAGTGCCGCGATGGAGGAGAAAAGGTGTGCGCAGCCATCCACGTCCAGCGCCATGCACCGACCTCTGCCATCGGCGGCCGCCGTCTTCCACACCGGAGCAGCACAAGTGGTTGTCCGCACTTCTTGCGCTTCGTAGTCGAGAAAGTGACACGCGCCAGTGGTGTGCTCGAGCACCACTTCGAAGACGTCCTGGCCGACAAACACCGCAGCGTCCGGATTCACTAGAGCGCGCAGCAGGTCTTGGAGCAGTTGCGCACCGTCCCCTAGGACGTGGATCCCTCCCATGTGCGTCCGATACACGGTCTGAGAGGTACATACCGCTACGACGGATGCCGCATCCTCGATCGAGATCGTGGCGCCGGCAAAGGCGGCCTTGGTCTCCTCGAGCGAATCGGGGCGGAGCTGGCCGAAGAGGTTGCTGCCGAATGCCACCACGCGCGTCGAGCCAGTCTCATCCGCGCCTGCCGCAGCCATTGTCGCGCATCGTAAGACAGTGCTCAATCAAGTATGACCGACATCGGTTCCAAGAGCTCCGATGGGCTGTGTTTGCCGCTGTGTGTTGTCGTAGAGAGCGAGGAAAGAGGTGGGAGCGGCAAAGTTGGTGTTGGTGTGGAGGCCTCAGTCGAATTCCACTCGGCCGGCAAAATCGCGGGGCGTCTGAGGCCGAAGGTCCGACGTCCAACGTGTTCTGTTGCCGAAAGCTGCCTCTCGCCGACGCTTTCGTGCTGCGACGACCATCCATCCCTACATCGACTTGGCTCGCGGCGCACGTACGAAACCATGCATCCGGCGGTGGTCATCTTTGTGTCCGTGGTGGTGGTGCAATGCATCAGCGCGCTCGGAAAGGAGCGTCTCCAAGAAGCCGTAAGTTGCGACGCTCCATCCGTCTCCCGCCGATCGACCATACTGACCTTTGTTCTGTCGCTTGGTGGCTGCAGCTATGGTTCGTCTTCGCGTCGATATTTCACCGCGGTACGCTGTCTTCACAGCGCGCGCTGCGCAAGGAGATCTACAGCACCAAGCAGGAGCTCGCCGCCACGTCGTCGCAGGACCAGTTCGCCAAGTGGGCCAAGCTGCGGCGTCGGGTGGACAAGGGGCTTGCGGATCTGGAGCGCACCAATGCCGACGTAGCGCGCGCCAAGTCTACGTTTGGAATGCTCTTCAAGGCGGTCATGTTTGTCATCACTACGGTGGTGCCGTTCTGCGTGACGAGCTGGTACAGCAAGACGCCGATCTTCTGGCTGCCACCGACCAAGCACAGCTGGTTCGGTCCCGTCGGGTGGTTCCTGGCTCTACCGCGTGCGCCCAAGGGTGCGATCAGCAGCACCGTATGGCAGATGGTGTGCTCGAGAACCATCATCGCCCTCGCCTCGGCGCTCACCAACCTCGTCCCCGGCAAGAAGGAGGAGGTGCTGGTCGAGAAGCCAGAATCCCAACCGGCGCAAAGTCACGAAAAGACACAGGCAAAGACGTCGGCAACCCAGGCTGGCGCTCAGTCGGACACAAGGAAACGCACCAATGCCCAATCTGCGAGCGAGAAGACCGAGCTCTAAAAACCTCCTGGACTCCGGCTCGAATGTGACAATCCCACAAAGTTGCTATAAAGAATGCATGCGGTACAAATACAGATTTGCGTGAGTCTAGGCGCTAATGGTGATGTTCGACGCCCAGACCCGTGAGCAGCGACTGAAGGAATCTCGGGGTGCAAGCGCCCGCGATGAGCAGTACGATTCTGAGGTACTTGCCCAGGATCTGCACCTCCTCATCCCCGGCCACACCCGGCCTCACCACCGTGTCCGCATCGGCGCCGGCGAGTTCGAGCACGGCGTGGAACGCGACAAAGAGAAACGTGCCGCCCGAAAAGGCGAGCGCAGTGCCGATCGACTTGCCATCGATGCCCTCGGCCTGTGCTGCCAATCCGTTGGGCACCGCTGCGACGTCGACATCAAAGAACAGTGCGAGCAGCGCATACGTCAGCAGCGCTCCCACGGGCGCAGCCAACGCAAAAACGGCGACAGCCTTGCGGATGCTGGTTCGCGACAGACGCTGCGCCATGAGCATGGCACACAGCCCAAACGCCGCGGGCGCCTTGTGCACCATGATGGCGATGAACACCACCATGGTGAGCGTGCTGTCGCCCGACTGCGCAGATGCGCCCATCGCAATGCCGTCGGCGGTGGCGTGGATGAGCAGCCCGACGATCGTGGTGAGCGCCTGCCCAAAGCTCGCATGCACCGAGCGCACCGACGACACCGAGCGGCTGCGCTTCGATCGCGGCCGTGCCCCGCTGGCCACACTCGTAGCCGTGTCTTGCCGCCGCAGCAGCGGTGCACCTGCCGAGGGCGATTCCAGATCGGCCACATTGGTGCTCGAGCCATTGAATCGCTTGAAGTCGGCATTCTGGTAGAGGGAGGCGTCGTGGTGGTCATAGTCTTCGGGGAGGTCGGTGTCGCTGCTGCTCGAGGTGGTGACGATGCTGTCGACGCGGCGGTGCGCGTCGTCGTGCGTGGATGCGTCCGGGGCGCTGGCCGAGCCGATCTGTGCCTCCTCGTCGTCTTCAGCGACGCCGTGATCGGCGCGATCAAAGATGGCGAACGATGCTTTGCTGCTCATCTTGTGCAGCGGGCGTGCGCCGCCGCCGCCGCCGCCCTCGGTCTTGTGATGGAACGACTTGGAGAGTCGATGTGCCTCGAGACGCGGTCGTTGTGGGGTAGCGGTGTAGTCGTGGTGGTGATGCCCTCCGTGTGTATGTGTCGAGCCGTCGTGTGCTTCCGTGGAGCTGCCGGAGCCCGAGGTGAACTGGTCAATGACATACATGAGCACGATACCAAAGAGGATGCTCGAGCCCAAGCGATGTCCTGCATCGGCTGCGGTGAACGTGTTTTTGTCCGCATCGTGGCTGTCTTTGTCGTGGTCGTGGTCGTGATCGTGATCGTGGTCGCCGGTGGGTGGCTCGTCTCGTTTTGTGATAAAGGACCACGCCCAAGGCTCGCCCTGGTGTTGGTCGACAATAGGAGATGTGCCAACAGGGTGGTAGGCGGGTTGCAAGCTGGTTGCAAGCAGTGGTGCATGCGCACTTGAACTGATTGCAGACTGTGATGCAGGCGGCGTGACATGCGCAAAGAGCGCGTTGGCGCCTTCTGGGATGACGACCGTGACAGCTGCGCCGACGAGGAGGCCGGCGCCAAACACCTCGAGGATGCGCATCATGCGGTGCGAAAGTGGAAGCGAGAGCGGTACGAGGCCGCAGATGAGCGTGCCGACGCCCATGCCCGTGACGAGCAGGACGAATGCGAGGAGACCCGACATGATGGTGGATCAGATGACGTGTTTATGGTGACTGCATGAGGTACAAATCCGCCTGGCCAGTTGAAAGAGGGTGAGATGGTGAAGATCGACAAGGAAGGTGTTGATGATGGACAAGAGGCCAAGGTAGGCGATGCGACGAGCGATGTCTGAAGGGAGTTGCGGGGGGTGAGGTAAGGTGAGATAGCATGAAGAGCAGCCAATGCACCTCGCTGTGTGGCACTGCAGCTTCGGCAGCTTCTGGGCTTCGTGCGCATGCCAAGCCGGGCCTTCTTTCGCTCGTGCCCATTCCTCAGCTGCACCTTCAAAGACCCAGCCGACGACCCTTCCGGTTATCTCTCGCTCAGCTGCCACTCTAACATGTTTTTGCCCAGCTTCGCACGTAAGCACGAGTAAGCTTGCAGCTCCGCGTTTGCGATCTCTCTTTTTTTCCCTGCCGCAGGGCCGAGGAATTTTTCTGGGAAGAAATTGCGAAATTGCGACCGGCTGGCCCGAGCAGGAAAAGTGCAGGAAGAAAATTTTGAGAGCAGCCAAAGCCTCAAATAGAGCTGCCTCACGTCCGCTCTCTCTTCTTCTCGTTCCCAGCTGCTTTGCTTGGCTCACCCGTATACCCATCCTTCCTACCATCAGGCACAGTCGCCTCCTTCCCCCATATACCTCGACTGCCACTTCCCTTTTTCCCCTTCAACATGTCTAAGCGTCCCTCTTCCCCTTCGCTGGACGCCAAGGCCGCCTCCGCCGCGGCTACCTCCTCCCCCATAGGGCAGCGTCAACGCACTGGCGCCGACGCTTCGGCTCAGCTGAACCGCATCAAGGATGCTGACGGCGACGATGAGATGGGCGAGTTCGAGGACCAGTTTGAAGACGAGTTCGACGAGGAGGACGCAGATGCTGTTCTCGCCGCGCGCGACTCCGACGATGATGACGACGATGATGATGCCGAGACCATGGAGGTCGATGGCGTCAAGGTCGACGGCAAGATCCAGCGTCCCGAAGACGACGAGGCCGACGCGGCTCAGGAGCCAGAGGCGCAGGTCTACATCCCCGGTGTCACCAAGCTCGAGGACGGCCAGACGCTCGAGGCCGACCAGAGCGCGTACGAGATGCTCCACCGCCTCAACGTCACATGGCCCTGTCTCTCCTTCGACCACCTCAAGGACCACCTTGGTAACGACAGGCAGAGCTACCCGCACACCTCCTACATGGTCGCAGGCACCCAGGCCGACACCGCCTCGCGCAACGAGATCCTCGTCATGAAGGCGAGCCAGCTCCACAAGACCCAGAACGACGACGGTAAGTTTGCTCCCCCCGCAGTGACCTCTACTTCACGACACGAGCGCCGGTTTCGCAATGATGCCTTGAGGCATTTGGCTGTATGAGTTGCACCCCGCCCCTGTGGGGTGGGGAGCAATTCGATGCCGAAAACTATCTCAGCTACCTAATTTCTTAACTTCTGAGCCCAACCGCGCGCTCTGTCATGGCCGCTCGCCACGATCTTCGCATCTTTCTTGACGACCAGACGCTGACCTGAACTCTGTTCTGCTCGGCTCGCATAGGCGCATCGGACGACGAAGACGACGACGAAAACGACCTGGACGACGACGCGATCCTCGAGTACAAGTCGATCCCCGTGGTGGGGGGCATCAATCGCGTGCGTGCGGCGCCGACGTCGACGCCCGTGTCGGAACTGGAGCCCTGCCTGGACCCGTACCCGGTGGCGGCGTGGAGCGAGGTGGGCGACGTGAAGATCTTTGACGTGCGTCCGCTGCTCAACTCGCTCGACCGTCCGGGCACCTCGTACGACGCGCGCAAGGTCAACACGCCCATGTTCACCGTCAAGGCGCACAACGGCGTCGAGGGCTATGCCATGGACTGGGCGGGCGTCGTCAACGGCGGTGCGGGCGGCGGAGGCAAGGCTTCCTCGCTCCGTCTGCTTACGGGTGACATCCACTCCAAGATCTTCCTCACCACTGCGGGAAATGCGGGCTTCACCACCAACCCGACGCCGTTCACATCGCACACGTCGTCGGTCGAGGATCTGCAGTGGTCGCCCAAGGAGCCGACCGTGTTTGCGTCGTGTTCGGCCGACCGCTCGGTGCGCGTGTGGGACGTGCGGGTCAAGAACCGTCGCAGCGTCATCTCGGTCGAGGGCGCACACGCCCAGGACGTCAACGTCATCTCCTGGAACCGCGGCACCGACTATCTGCTTGTATCCGGTGGCGATGAGGGTGCGCTCAAGGTGTGGGATCTGCGTCACTTTAAGCCCAACTCGACTCCGTCGCCCGTGGCGCATTTCGAGTGGCACAAGGCGCCCATCTCGTCGGTCGAATGGCACCCCACCGAAGACTCGATCTTTGCGGCGGCAGGTCGCGACGACCAAGTCACACTCTGGGATCTCTCCGTCGAACAGGACGACGACGAGACGCAGCAGGACGGTCTGCGCGACGTGCCGCCCCAACTGCTCTTCTGCCACCACGGCCTCTCCGATTGCAAGGAACTCCACTGGCACCCGCAGATCCCCGGTGCCCTTGCCACCACCGCCCTCGACGGCTTCAACATCCTCAAGACCATCTCGGTCTAATCTCTCCCTTCGTCGCTTTTGTCCGGTTCGCTACTCGTTAATGCATTTCAGCAGCTGTATTTGTACCATCCATCCCTTGCTTGCAGCTTGTCGCTTCTCAAAGTCAATGCGCGGCAACTTTTTTTGAGATTAAGACGAGGCAGATACTCCGGGGGATGTCTAGTTGGGATCCGGCCACTCGCGCAGTTCGATCACACTGTCCGGTCCGCCGAACGCCAGAATGGGCAGGTGCGGATGGAACGCCATGCTGCCCATAGCAGGCGAGAAGCTCGAGGGCGGCAGCTCGGCTGCAGGTGGCAGAAGCGTGTGCAGTGGATTGGTCGGGTTGAGCATGGGGCCGTGCGTGCCACCCGCGTTGCCGGTCGACGGATGCGCGCCCGACAACAATCCGAACCCGCTAGCGGTGGGAGTGGGCGGAGCGTGGTGCATCTCGCCCGGGTGATGCAGATGGTGCAGATGATGGTGGTGGTGCACACCCGAATTGACTGCATCCGGCGGGTACAGCAGCGTGCTATTGCCCAGGTGCTGCGTGGACCCAGCCTGTGCAAACGTGCGTGTGATCGGCCGCCCCAGCGTCTTGAGCGTCTCGAGATGCGTCAGCACCACCGTCTGGGGCGCCGCAGCCGGTCGCAGCGGCTTGGGTGCCGAGCTCACCGCAAAGAGCGGCACGCGCTCGTGCACCGCCATGCACGACAGCTTGCCACCCAGCTTGGCGCCCATGCTCAGCCGCGCGATCGACGAGCGCACGCGCATGTCCCACAGCCGCACCTCGCCGTCCATGCTGGCCGTCACTAGCTCGCGTGACCCGCGCTTCTGCAGGTGCACATTCTGCACCCACGTCTGGTGCTCCTCCCACAACCGCACCAGGCTCGCCTCGGGCGGATTGCGCCGGTCGTACACGCCCACCGTGCCGTCGCCAAAGCCGGCGACGAACAGATGCCCAAAGTCGGACTCGGAGCTGATCGACGTCACGCAGCTCGACGCGCGCGTGGGGATGTCGACCACACACAGCTCGCGGTGCGCATCCCACACGCGGATCACGCGGCTGTCGCCTCCCGCCAGCAGATGGCCCGAACCCTGCAGCCAGTCCACCACCAGCCCGCTCGGCCGCTTGCTCCGCACCAGGTCCGGCAGCGCCTGGAAGCTCGACGCGAGCTCTGGGCCGCGGAATCCCGCCGTGTGCGTCGGCGAGTCGTAGTGCCGGTAGATGCGCACATTGCCCTCCGCCGAACCCACCAGCAGCATCGCATCGCTGTCCTCGTTGATAAATAACGCCGACGTGATGTTGGTGCGCGCCGGATTGCCGTTGGCGAACCGACTCAGCAGCCGCTTCTCCTCCCAGTCCCACACCGCTACCGTGTCCTGGTCGCTCGCCGTCACCAGATGGTTCTCGTACTGGTGGAACAGCATCACCTGCGGCACCGCGCCGTTGCGGATGTAGCCTCCGTGCTCCGACCACGCGCTCTGGGCTGCATCGTCGGCAATCTCGAGCGAATGCTCCGTAAGCCGGCTGTTGCGCTGCTTCTTCCAGTGCTGCACGTTGTACTTGATGCTGCCTGGCTCCTCGCTCTCGGCCTGCTTCATCTGCGGCTCGATGTAGTACTCGCTGCACCACGCAAACAGACGGCTCTTGAGCGGCAGCGTCTCGCGCAGCTCCGCACCTGCCCCGCCCGATCCGATGGACCCAGACGGCGTGCTCATGCCGCTGCTGCCCGGCGTCGACGCAAGGCCCCAACGGTTCGCACGGCTGACGGCGGGCGAAGACGCAGGCGTGTTCTGTCCCGAGCCTTCGGCACTGCCCGTGCCCGTAAAGCGCTGTCGAAAGCGCCACATGTCCATGGCGACCAGCCCAGCAAGCGCATCTCCGACCTTGACATGGTCGTCCACCGCGACGTGCGGGTCGCTCTCCATCTCGTCGCCGTAGAAGCGCTGCGCATCGTGCGCGCCGCCCGCGCCGCTGTGCGCCGGCTGGCTGGTGGCGTTTCCATTGACATACTGCTGTGGCGACTGTACGATTTCGCCGCGACCCAGCGCCTTCTTGCGATCGCCCTTACCGCCGTTAATGTACGACAGGCTCTCGGCGCTCTGCGAGCGATTGCTGAGCTTTGCGTTCGTGTTGAGCGGCGACGACGGCATCGACACGGCCGATGGCGGCTCGAGCGAGGGCGTCGTGGGCACTCCCGGACCTCCGCGGGGCGAATACGGAGAGCTGTACTGTGCCGCGGCGGCTTTCGTGCCCGGGCTCCTGCGCGGCGCAATGACCGCTGGTCCAGGAGGCGGAATGCCGGAAGGTCCGGCTTCGCCGTACAAAGGGCGTCCCTGGCTGTCGTGGTCCGAGCCGACCGGAGAGGCGGGGCGCGAGTAGCCGAGCGTTGCGAGCGTCTTGACCGCCTGCGCCAGCGTCGACGAGCGCTTCGGCGGAGCATGCGACTGCGCACGTTGTGTTTGACGCGGGCGAGCCGGCCCAGATCCACCTGTACCAAAGCCAGAGGGGGGAACATGCGCGCCGTTCAGGGCCGCAATCTGCGAGGTCGACATCTCTTCCGTGGAGCCAGGGGTCGACACGGTGGAGTGCGGCGTCAGGGGGAAGTATCCCTCGAGGCCCGCATCGGTGCTCGTGGGCGTCGTGAATCGCGTGATTGCCTCTGCGGCGCCAAATCCGCGCAGCGCGCTCTCGCCCGCACTCGACACGTCGCTTTCGAGCAGGAGCGCCGAGATGAAGTCGACGACCGTGCAGGCCAGGTTGGCCACCTCGGGATTCGAGTCGACGCTGAGATCAAGCAGCGCCACGAAGATGGTGGTGAAGGCCGGGATGTTGGCGATGTCCTCTTCCTCGATCTCCTCTTCGATCAGGAGCTTGGACGCAATGCGGGCGAGGAGCGCCTCTTCGTTGGCGAGCGATCCGGATGATGGGCCAGCGACGCTGGCATTCGAGCCTGATCGGCCGAGCGTATTCAACGAACCTCGGCGATCCGCTGCTGCGCTCTGTGCCTTTCCCTTGCCTGCGGTCGACTTTCTTTCCTGCTGCGAGGGTGGGTTCTGCAAGCTGCCCTCTTTCGAGTAGTACAGGTAGGCGGCGAGCACAAAGAAGCCCTTGTACTCGGCAACGACAGGGCTGAGCGCAATGACGAGCTCCTTGCGCACCAAGGGGCTGCAGTCGCCTTTGGTGGTGAGCATGGCAGTGGCGATGCCGATCTCGAGGCCGCGCTGCTTTGCTGGCGGGAGGCCTGTGGCAGCGCCAGTGCCGGGGCAAAAGCGTCGGGTCGACGCGGGTCGAGCGCTGCTGCTGGGTACAGGGACGGGCTCGCCTGTGGCGTGCGAGACAATGTCGATCTGATCCTGGCTGGAGCCGCTCGTGCCGAGCAAGGTGCCGAGTGCATGGAGCACAGCTGCGCGCACCTCTGGCGACACATCGCCGAGCATGCAGCAGAGCTTGCCGTGCGCATCGAGCGAGATCGCGCGCGCCTTTCCAGCTTCGTTGTCGTCCCACAGCTGGGCGAGGCAGAGCGCGCTCCACTGCCTGAGCAAAAAGTCGTCGTCCTCCAGATGCTCGAGGCACGAGTGCATGACATCGGTCTCGAGGCATGCCGCCTGACCGGCGGGGAAGTCCTGGCAGAAGACGGCGAGGATAAAGGCACACATGGCCTGGTGCTCCGAGACATTGGGGATGGGGATGGACGGCCCGTTGGCGCCGGCATTCTGGCCAGCCGTGTTGTTCTGAAACGGGCTGAGGACGCCTGCAAAGTAGACGAAGCCGTTGTCGCGGAGCAAGTCGTTCTGGCAGCTGCGGTCGACGGCGAGGATGCGTGCCCAGATGTAGATCAGCACGGGCTTGAGATCAGCAGCGGGGCTCTGAAGGAGCTTGAGCACGTAGGGGAAAATACCGATGCTGAGCGCCATGTTGACTGCCCAAGGGCCCAGGTCGAGGAACTGGCTGAGCAGGATGAGCGCGCGCAGACGGTGTGCTTGCGAGAGCAGCACCTGGAGGACGATCGGAAGCTGGTCGGGCGGCTCGCGCACGGGGCTTGCGTCTCCATCATCGTCGAATGCGTCGGGATCCGCGCCCGTAGCGGCGGATGACAGGCCAGCGGATGGGTTACCGTGAGGCGTGATGGCGGCATTGACTCGACGCCTCCTGCCCTTCCTGCTGACGCCGCCCTGTTGGAGCCACACTTCAAAGGCCTTGAGCTGCTCGCTGAAGAAGGTGCTGTGGCGGTACTCGAACGAAGCGAGGTGCGCCGGGACGGGTGGCCCACCTTCAGCCGCCTCTGCTTGTGCACGTTCCTTTGCGAGTAAAGTTGGAAGCTGTGCGAGGCACTGGTCGACGGCAAGATCCCAGCTGTCCCAGAGCGGGTGGTTGTGGGTTGGCGGCAGCTTGGGGTGACTCATGGGCGTGCAGTGGTAGAAGCGCATGATTCGCTCTGCCAGGAGGAAGTTGCGGAGGAGTGCGGCGACCATGAGGTCGTCGCGGAAGAGACGTCGAAAGATGGCGCGGGGCAGGACGGTCCATGCAATCGTGTCGGTGATGGCGGTGAAGATCCAGTTGAGTTCTCCGAGCGGCGTTCTCCTGTCTTGCAAGCGACCTGGGATATTCATGACCATGTCGACATTGAGTTTGGATGGCAGCGGGTTCTGCAGCACGAACCATCGGAGCGAGATTTCGATGGGCGAGGTGAGGCAGCAGGTGAAAAGATCGGCGGGCAAGTCGGGGTTCATGGGCAGCACCTCGTCTGGCCCACAGGCTGCGAGGTGGATGGACTCTCGGAGCGGGAAGTGCGGCTCCTCGTTGTTTGCCTGGTCGGTCTTCTTGGCTGAAGAGGAGGTGGACGCGCTGCCGGAAGCGCGGTCTCGATCGCGACCCTCCCTGTCGCCGCGGTTGGCCCTGGCGGCGTCCTCTTCGGCCTTGCGCTCTTGAAGGCGCTTGAAGTTGACGACGACGTTGCCTGCCGAACTTGCGTCCCATACAAAGATGCATGGACTGCCGAGCCAGGTGAGCAGGTCGTAGAGGGTCACGGGGATATACTGGGTGTACGCCTTGTTGAAAACCCAGATCTCGCCGCCTGGGGTGGGCTTGGGCACACCATAGCCGTTGTAGTAGAAGAGCACGCGCTCGTCTTTGGCGGCTCTTCGGAGGTTGGTGCAGAAGCGCCTTGTCTCTTCGACGATGGGATCGAGGTACTGCTTGTAGCGAGTCTTTGTGCTGAGCGTCTCGAACTGCGCCTGAAGGTTGCGACCGATGGCGGGGAGCGCCTTGGATACTTCGAGCGAGCTCGGGTCCATCCAGCAGATGAGCTTGGAGCATGGGTTGGTCTTGGAGACATCCGGGGGATCGACGCCGATGTTGAGGCACATGACCAGTGCGGCGGTGACGGTGCGTAAGCGTTCGCGCATGCGCCAATCTGGAAGGTCGCGCTCGTCCCTTGGCTTGGGGTTGCCGTGGGTGATGTGACGCTTGAGGCCCCAGTGAAAGAAGGAGTGCTGGAGCATCCACTCGTTGACCTCTTCGACGAGAAGCGCACCGTGGCGTCGGCCGCTGGCAGTGGAGGCGTCGTCCTCATCGTCGAGCTCTGGTGCGAGCTGCTGCGAGTCGGTGTCGGTGAGATGGTTTGGCAAGCCGTTGGGGTTGACAGCGCGCACAAGCTGGCCCGAGTCGGAGAGCTGCTGCGGAAAGGTATGCTGTGCCTGACTCGACGGGGTGGCTGAGGCGCTTGAGCGTGCGTCGTGCCCGATCGTGTACGGTTGTGGCGAGGGCGAGGCGTTGGAAGCAGCATGGCGCGCCTGCGCAGGCTCAAAGTGAGCGGCGAGATGAGCCATGGCGAACGACCGACGCGGGCGGATCGGCGTGCATGCAATTGCTGGGCAGCGACGACTGCAGTGCTAAGTGCGAGTCAAACTGACACGCTCGTTGGTCAGCCGACGTGCGCAATGCGGACAATCGTCGAAGCAGGATGATGCAGCAAGGGTGGCGAGTAGGAGTGTTGAGCGGTGTGGTCCAGCGGCGGAGCGAGACTGGCCAAGAGCACAGATTTCCCGGACGGCCGACGACGAGATGGACGCCCGAGAGGCTGATGCTGTGTCCTTGTCGATGCCGGCGCCGAGTGGAGAGAAGATGGGAGAAGCTGACGATGAATTGCGCCGAGATGCTCGAGCGCAATTTGGCGTGAATGAGTGAAATGACGGATGCAGACCGCCTCGAGCACAGACGGGTCCGAGCGTGGCTTTGATGATTGGCCCCCGCCTCGAGCCTCGTTTGGCCGCGTCCACAGCGTCAAAGCGTGGAAAAAAATGACAGATCCCATTGTTACGCAAGGCTTAACATTCTAAACAGAAAAAATCCAACTCTATCACACGACCCGACACAGCTGAGCTTAGCGGCCAGCTACGACGATGTCGACATGACGATGCTCTCAGACGCCCGTGTGCACGATACCGGAGGCGACGTGGCATGTGTTGATAGAATTACAATTGAGATCGCTATGCCGTCCTAGACCGTTCGAGCAGCTCTATCCTATCGACTGCATCGGCATCGTACGCTTTGGTCTCGGGCACCAACAGGAGCGTCACAAGAAGCCCGAGCAGGCTGACACCAAAGAAGATCCAAAAGATGCCCGTGTGTCCGAAGCGCTTGTCGTTGGCGAGCACGCTGAATCCGAGCGACGACACGATGCTGCCTAGCTTGCCCATGGCGGCGCAAAAGCCGTGTGCTGTCGCCCTGATGCGCGTAGGAAAGACCTCGGCAGGCACGATGAACGTGGTCGCATTGCTGCCGGCGTTGAAGCTGAGCTGGAGCAGCACAAACACCACAAAAAACGGACACATTCATTCGGAAAGGAGGATCACACATTCATTCGGAAAGGAGGATCACACATTCATTCGAAGTGCAATAGACTAATGCGGCGATCACTCCCAGGCGGTAGCAACACTACTAGTGGTGGTCGCGTTGTCGTTGACGTACTGGCAGTCGAACAGCGCCAGCCAAACCTTGACTTGCTCCCAGGTGATGTTGCTAGGGAGAGCCTTGATCTTGGAGGACTCGCCGTAGCGAACGATGGTCTTGTCGATCCTGACCTCTCCGTCGACGTCGTGCAGGCGCACGAGCGTGTTGCGTGGCCAAGGGTTGCGCTTGCCTCCAACGGCGAACTGGTTGTAGAGCTTGGTGGACTTGTGCACCAGCATATCGGTCTGCTTGCCGTCACCAAGGTCGAGCGTCACCAAGGTCGAGAGTGATGGTGCGATGGATGGTCCTGCCGTACTTCTGGTTCCGCTCGTTCTTGAGGATGCGGGCGACCAGATTGATGCAGGAGGGTGCATCGTGCGTCCTGGTGACCTCCATAAAGTCGTGCGGGCCGATGAAATACTGGCTCGAGATGTTCGAGTCGCGGAGGTAGAAGTGGCCCTGCGCATCCATAGGGTAAGCTTGGGTGGGAGCAGCAGGGGGCGGAGCGGCGGCAGGGGCGAAGGCCGAGGTGGCGGCAGGGGCGAAGGCCGAAGTGGCGGCAGGAGCGAAGGCCGAGTTGGGGGCGGCGAAGGCTGAGTTGGCGGCGGGAGCGAAGGCAGATGCGGTGGCAGGGGCGGGAGCGGGAGCGGGCTGGTTGGCGATGTCGAGGAAGGCTTGCTGCAGCTGAGCGAGCTTGTGCGGGTCGGCGATGATCTTCTCGAAGGCGTCCCAGTGGATGGCCGTGGTGCTGGCTGCGATCATCGATCTGAACCGCTTCTGCTTGGCCAGGGGGTCGAAGGGCGGCATCTGGTCTACAGTGCCTCGGAGGACACGGAGCGAAGGCGTAAGGGGGTGTATGAGGAGGGGGAAGGACGGGTACGAGGGGTACAACGGGTACGGGGTATGAGGGGTATAAGGGGTATATGGTGGAGGGCGGACAAGAGTGCGAGAGGGCGGAGATGGTGGTGGGTTGGAGACAAGGCACGAAAGGAGCGGGTCGCACCTTATATCAGATGAGCTCGAGTGCGGAATTGAGCGCAGCGGCTCCTCACCCCGCACTTTCGAGTTCAATGTTGGCAAATTGGGATCCAGGCACGATCACGCGTGCAGTCCCACGAAGTGACGGAAGGAGTGCTTCACCCATTTTTTAAAAACCAACGACGCGATGCGTCAACATTTTTCATACAGCGACAGTGATTCAATGGTACATTGCGACGGTAGGAATGATACATTGCGAGTGTGGCGATGATACATTGCGAGGCTAGGGATGCAAGCGACCTGGTCATCTTTCGTCGGTCACCAGACAATAATGGTCCTTGATCCGCAAAAGAGTGTCGTCTTGTGCAAAGCTGATGTGTGGGTGGACCTTTTCGTCGGGCTTGATGCCATCAAAGATCGTCACACCTTGTCGCGACAGGACTGGAAAGCGATGAACCTGTGCCAGATGCTTGAGGGTCGCAGTGAGGCCAATCATGACCTTTGGGCATTCGAGCACGGGGCAGCTGTACGGTATACTTCGAACGAGCGCTGGCTTGCCCTTGCGCGGGCTGCTTCTGCCGGCTTCTACCTGCTCGACCAGCGAAGCGAAGAGCTGCCTGAGCCAGTCTCGAAGCTCTTGGGGGGCGCCTTGGGCATTGCTGAACGGGAGGCGGGCAGTCCCGAATGCCTCGGATCGTGGCGCTCCAGGCAGGCGAAGCTGTAGCGTGTAAGCATCAAACGTGAGCGGGCGAGGCTGGGCGGCAAAGTGACGCTTGCGGCACTCGTCCAGATGCTCAGGCTCGCCTTCCATCCAGGTCATGCAGAGCCAGCAGAATCGTAGGCCGGGGTTGATGTCTTGGGTATGCGAGACAATATGCACCAGCAAGAGAGCGCGGTTCGCAAAGGCGTGCGGCTTATGCAGCAAAGCCAGTCGGCCGATTCCTCGGAGACCCTGCCGGTGCGGGTCAAGGGACTGGCATCGAAGCGACAGAGGCGTGATGCCCTCGATCTCGCCAGACGTCGGGGCGGGCGGAGTGTACTGACCCGTACGAGGAGACACGTCCGATGGCGCCCAGCCTGGCTTCGCCATTGCCTTTGCGATGAGGTCGGCGATGACGCCGGTTTTCATGTCGGCGTACGGCTTTGGCGACTCTTTCCTGAGGTTGACGCCCGCGCGAAGGGCGGCACGAGATGCCTCGTACCTGGTCGTGTCGGCGCCTGCCTCCCAGGAGTACCTGCGTGCAGCTGCAGAGGTGGAAGCTGCGACGGCGGCTCTATTGGCGATCGCGCCGACGGACGACGACGAAGAGGAAGAGGCAGGCGCTACGTTGGTCCCGTCTCCCAGCGGCGTCGGAGCGGTCGGCGCTGCGACGTCCCAGTCGGAGGCGTCGTTGAGGATGCCGTTGGGTGCGCAACGCGAGCCGTACATGCCGACCACCGCCTCGATGAGTTGCCAACGAGACATTGTCGCTGCGGACGCGGTCATGGCTTGTGCCTTCGGTTTGTCCTTGACGGCGTGTCGGTAGAGCTTCCGAAGCTGTGCCGCGTCGAGGCCAATCACAGGCACCTGGCGATGTCGGTGAAAGAGGATGAGTGCCTCGTACCTCTGCGCCTTGGGCAGGCCTGCGTTGCATAGACCTCTTTCGGAGCACGTGGCTGAGTTCTGGTAATCGCCCATCTCGGCGTAGGATGCTTCCACCTCGTCGCGAGGCTCCCGATCGAGACAGATCGCACACAGCCCTTGCCGCTCGGTCTCGGCGACGGCGAGGTAGCTGCCTACAAAGTTGAAGAACTCAGCGTGCGTCATGTTCTCGACAGGGCTGCGGTTGACCTGCAGCAACTCGTTGATCCACTGCTGGCCCGTGATATCGTCCGCCGAAAAGTAATTGGCGCAGGACGGGTCGGAGGACAGAGTATCGTCCGTGGCGTCAGAAGCAGCAGGAGAGGTAGAAGGGGTAGGAGGGGTAGGAGGGGTAGGAGGGCCACGTTCGGCAGCGGCGGCGGCGGCAAGAGAGGCGGAGGATGACGACAAATGGCCGCCGCCTTTGGCGCCGAGAGGGGCTGAGGGCACCAGCGTCAACGACGACGACGATGCGACGGTGGCGTGCGTAGGATTGGCGACATGTCCCGTGGCCCAGCCGTAGGCAGAGAGAAAGTCGGTCTCCGCCTCCTGCAGGCGCTCAACGAGGCTGACCTGCTCGCTGGACAGGTGCTCCTTCCATCCGTCGTCGTTGATCAGGTCGATTGCGAGGCGCGGCACCTTGCACGCAAGCAGCTGGTCGGACATGACGGCTTCTCGCAGCTTGCGCACCACCGGAAGCGACTTGGCGACGTGGGGATTGGCCAGCACCGTGGTCGACGCTGCTGGTGCTGCAATGCCGAAGGAGCGACCAGCTGCCTCGCGAGCTTCCTTGGAGTACAGCTGGTCGATGTTGCGACCCCCCGCTGCAAATGCGGCCTGGTCGATGGGCACATGGTCGGCAAGATACACCGTCTCGACGACACGCGAGTTGGCGTGTCGGTGGCCCATCAACAGCCGAAGCTGCTCCTGGGAGACGCTGTTTTTCGCCAGGGTTGCAAAGGTTCGGCGAAAGTCGTACGGGGCCAGAGAGTCCCAGCCGAGCAGCTTGGCGATCTGCTGGAGGCAAGTGGCAGCGTCTCGACTCGACATGGCCACAAGGCGCATGTTGTGAGCATTGTTGAGCTTTGTGTCTTGGTCGTAGAAGCTCGATCGATCGGCTAGCAGCACTGGCACGTCCTTCCAGGCCTTCTTGATGCGAAGGAGAGTGTTGGGGGCGAGGGCGGTGCTGGACGGATCGTAGACCATGTCGCGGATCGCCTTGTCGGTCTGTGGCTCAAAGACGTCGAGCCATTGGGCGAGCACCAGGATCCAACGGACTGCACAGTGATGCGACGTCTCGGCCTTCTGCGAGGTGATCGACGTAGGGATGATCTCGCCCGCCATCCGGCCCTTGCCAAACTTCCACTCGATCTCGAGTCGGAAGCGCGGCTCTGTGGAAAGGGCGGTACGGGGGGTGGAAGGGCCGGCACCGTCGTCGGCGTCACCGGTACGTTGGGTACGGGCGCAAACGTACCTGCCGCAGTAGATGAGCTTTACGTCGGACCAGAGGAAGGCAGACGTGCGCTCCTCCGAGGGTCGCTCGTCGGTGTAGTGGTCGTAGCGAAAGAGCTCTCCGGGACGCAGGCCAGTGGCCTCTAGCAGCGTGACGACAAACAGCATGCAGATGCGTTCGATCGTCGGCACCTGCACCCTCCACAGCGTCGCAAGCACCGCCTCGATCTCGGCCGGCGTCAAGATGTGTTTGCGACGCTTTGCCATGGTCAGGAGTCCCTGGTTCTCCAAGAGCCGCGCCCAGCAGGTCGTCTGGTACGGCTCGTTGTCGGCATAGGGTGTCGACGACGACTTCTTGGACGACGACGAGGAGGAGACGTCGCCTGCCATCGTCGAAGGGTCGTAGGCGGCCTGGGCCCGGCGGCGCACTCCGCTGAAGAAGGCTTTGACGACACCGATCAGGCCTTCAAAGGTCATGGGCCGATCGTCTGGCCCAGGACGAGGCAGATCCTTGATCAGCTCCTCATCCGCGACATGCGAGCCAGGGCGCTGGTGGTGGCGAGCGACGTGCAGCATGCGCGCCATGCGGTCTGCGCGGGCTTGCTCGCTGGGATCGAGCTTCTCCAGGCCGTATCCGCCATTGACACCCGTGCTCGAGCCATTGATCAGCGCAGAGAGGCGGCCGCCGCCGCCGAGCAGGGCGTACGCGGCGAAGCCCTGGCGCAGCACGCCGATCGAAACCTTGGCGGTGAGGAGACGCTTCTCGGCCTCCTCGACGTCGATCTTGAGGATCTCGGAGGTGTAGTGCGACAGGAAGGTGAGGATGCGCACGAAATTGGCTTCGGTGCGCGCCTTGACGCGTGGGGTGAGCGAAGTGTTGAGAGCATCGATCACCTCGTGCTGATCGCCCAGCAGCCGAGCCTTGGCAGCGCGCTTGTGATGTTTCGTTGCGGCGGCCTTCTGCGCCGCAGCCTGCTTCTTTTGGGCGCGAGAGAGCGCCATGTCGAAGCCAGAGCGTAGGTGGGGAGCGGAACCAAAGGGTAGAAGCGATACGGAGGGTAGGAGAGGTACACGAGGGTACGACCGCGACGCGGGGCCGAGCTGCTGAGGGTCGCGAGGGCGACGCTGCTGGATGGGCGAGGGCTAGGAGTGGTGGGTACGGAGGGTACGAGTGGTGATGCGTAGCCGGGCTGCGATGTCGCGAGAGCAAGACCCGATAGCGCAGGCAGAAGCGACAGCAACGGTATGGATGCTGATGGACGTAGGTGTGCTGCGAGGGCAAAGGACGGTCGAAAGGCGACAAGTGCAATAGAAGCTTTTTTTTTTGTGTCAGCACGCAGATCCTCGCAGCTGCCGAGTTTGCGAGGTTGGAGTCGATGACCTACCAAGTTGGCAGATACCAAGATCTTGCAGAAGATATACGCTGGAAGCAGACGATGCGGTGGGCGGCGTGGCTGAGGAGGGGGAAGGAGGGGGAAGGCCGAGGCCGTTCGC